AAAAATATCGTTATATTTTTTAATAAGCTTAATAATTCGGATTTTTAAGAGTTTGTATTAAAAAATGGTTTTTAAATTATTTTAACTAGTTATATAATAGATACTGATGAATATTAAAATTATATTTTCTCTTAATTGTAAGCAAATGCAGAATTTTTCAGATTTATCAACTATTCAATTAATATGTAAATTTTTTTAATCATGAAAAATATTTCATATCTATTAAATTAATACTATATTTTGGTACATTTTAATGATTTTAAAATCGATAATAAATTTGTGCTTAAAATTCAGATCTTTTTATAGCAATTATTTCTATATAAATTTCAAGATGATTTAGTAAAAAATGAACACAGATATGCATTATAAAATATTTAATCTAAGGTAAATGTAAAATAATTAGAAATTGAAGTAAATTAAAAGTAGAAATATTCAAATGAAAGTGGGATTGAAAAAAAAATAGATAAATGTAAAATAATAAGTAAGCTTATACATAAAAATATATATAGAGTTGAAAATGGAAAAACTCGACAAGTCCTCAAATGCTGCAGTACATAGCGATAGGTGCAGCTAAACCAAGAAGCCTGATCTGTTAAATCAACACTGATCCATTTGGAAACAAAAGTCATGCACATATGTTATGCACATTCACTGGCTCGGCTTTGATTCACTGGCTGACTTCTATAACTTCATGGCAATGAATTTCGAAGATGGACGTCTTTATAGTTCTTAACTATCATTCGACTTCGATTTCAACGTTACATTTCCATCTCATTTTACCTTTAATATATATCAATCCAGCCATAGTGGAAGCTCACTTAACTAAAAATTCTATAATTCTTCCTTAACAATATAATTCTTTATTCATATCTATGACAATTATTTAGTTACGTTTACTTAAACTAATTGTATTATGTTATCTACATTTTAAATTCATTTTATTAATTACAATAGTACAGATCAATTATTTTTATATTTATATATTTCTGAATAACTTAAAATTTATTTATGATAGGGCGATAAAGAACAATTCAAATTGATCAAGAAATAAAGGTATAAGAGTTTTAACAATAACTCGTCGTTAGCGAAGGACGACATGTAACCTTTGAAAAAGTGCTTCTGCTCGATTTCTTTTGAATTAGCTTATACTCTAATTCTCATTATCAGAACCATAAATCACTCGTATTATATTTATCTTTGAAGTATTTTTATACGCTTCCCTTTGTACATTAAATAATATAGTATGTATAACACTTTAGTCCAAAGTAACATTTATATAAAGATTTATTATCATTATTTGTATGATTTTTTGTTTCTGATTTCATAATATACTTATATTTCTCTTTAGGAAATAGACTTATTTTCACCTAGCATTCATATTCACTATTTTCATTGATAGTTATTTACTAATCCAGAAAATATTTTATATTAAAAACTAATTTACGATTAATTTTTTCTTAATTCATTTGTAATTAAAGAAACATCCGTATACACACATATGTACTTTCATCTCTGATAATCACCTTAGATATTGCATTAACTTGTCTCAAAAGCTATTTATGCTTCCTATGCCCTTTGCAACTTTAATATCTATTTTATATGTACAATTATGTATTATAAAATATATATAAAAAATTTTTTATATTATTTTTATTTAACAATGCTTAGCAATTAAGTTATTTTATTTGAAATGTTATTATTGATTATATATAACATAGGAATTGTTATATGAAAATAAATAAATTAAAACAAAAATGTTTAAATTAAGATTTTTTCAAAATGGATAAAAAAGTTAATAAATATTGGAGTATCGATTATTAGATTGATAATTAATAATTCATAGATGCTAAAGTAAATCTACGTCGTTTCTACCTCCATTTTAACAAGGCACTCAGGGAGACAAGACAGGACAAACGTAAATGGGTGGAGCCAATTGGTCGTACCTGACAACGCCACACCTATTGGTTATTACTTTTCTTACCTGTTTACACCTGTCACGCTTAAATGTGATGGACAAGGAACAATTTCAGTACATAAAATGAAAACCTGGAATGTATTTCAGTTCATTTTTTTGTAAGATTCTCTCCTTCTTACCTTTGATTATTTATATAAAATTATAATTAATAAAATGCCTAAATTTCAGTATTTATATTTATGATGTAGATGATCCGTTTGAACAATCACATAGATTATACAAAATGACATTCACCATTTGTGTATAGTATTGTGAGTTTATAAAATAGTAGAAATTAACAGAAACGAAAATATTAATATTTATTCATTTAAATTTAATCATTTTTTCTATCATCCCCCTATTATCAATGTATGTATTTCTAATTAAATATACTTTTTTATTTTTCATGTAATTTACTAATTTTTTGAATACTAAAATATAATACTTCTATAAAATCAATAAATACATACAGAAATTATATTTAAGAAAACAGTTAAAAGTATATCCATGGCATTATTATAATTATACATTTATTATAATAATTAACTTTTTAATTATATTTACTCGGTTAATTTATACAATCTTTAATTATTTAAAATTTTCAAAATTTTTAGTTCTTTTAATAACATTTATTTGTTGAATCGCGATAAAAATAATAAAAAATTCGTTAACATCAGTTCGGTAATATCAGAATATTTTCTACCAAAAATAAATAAATATATTTAAAAAAACATTGATCATATGTAAGCAGTTATTTTATTATTGTAATTAAATTATATAATTAAGATGATACAATGCTATAAAAATTATTGCATTACATTTACAATTTATTTTATGCATTATACTATACGTTTAAGTACTTCTATTAGTTATTTTTTGATCATGAAATTTTACATATATTGTTCAAAGTATTTTAGTGTCTTTAAAAATAGATAATTTATTGTAGTATTGTATATTATATTTGTTTATATCGACATATTAATTTAGTTAATTTATAGTTAGCTTTAAATGAATTTTACGATATGAATAACTTATATAATTATACTACCATCATTTTCAATCGTTTTAATTACTGCAAGAACATAAATATTTTTATTAAAACTTAAGGAATTGGATGATGTATGTATTCACACAAACTATTCCAAATCTAGATTAATATTAATATTAAAAATATTAATATTAAAAATTAAAACAGCTTTTATGCAATAAATTTTTACTTATAATTAGATACTTCAAGTTAATAATTATTACAGAATTTTGTTAATAATTAATATAGTAGTTATTGAAATATTTTGGAAATAGGATTAGAGGATTTTTTATTATATTTATGCCTTATAATTCAGTAAGAAAATTAAAGAGACATATTTCAATTATAATCATTTATATAGTAAATTAAATTTAGGATTAACTATTATATTAAACAACATATTAATAAACTTTAATAACTAAAAATTTTTAACTAACATCGCAAATGTCACTCATTATCTAGCCTCTGAATTTTCAAATATTTGGATATATTAATAGATTTTAATTCTCTTATTTTTTTTACGGTTTAAATTTATTTTAACTTTATAAAAACGATAAACAAATATGCAATTGATAATTTGTTGACAACTAATAATTGTTTCAATTACATTTTTATGTTGTTTGGTTGAGTCCATACAAATTAATTTCAGAATTGATTGGATAAATACTCACGTTTATATTTTCTAATTACTATGTTCTTATATTTTTCTTCATATTTTTTAATTCAAATATAAGGGAAAATATGTAATTTTTTTGTTTCATGCATCGTAGAAACAGAATTAATTTGTACAATTTGTATGGTTAGGTGTTTATTTTTTAAGGATCGTTTGTATATCACTTTACTACATTATGATATACATTGTTTAGTTGAACGATTTCTTGTGATAATATATTTAGCAATATTTAATGGATTTATGAAATTTATCCATACCCACTATACAAAAGATTAGTAATTATTTAATTTAATTAAAGGTGAAATTTAAAAGTAGGTATACATTTTAAAATTCATAGTAAAATAAAATAATTTCCTTTAAAAAATTTCATAACAAAAATCTATTAGATTTTAAAAATTATCAAACTCATATTCGTTTTAAAAGTTTTTCCATAAAATCCTGTATTTTTATTAATAAATATGATTATTATTATATGACATCATTTACGATTTTAACATGCTGAATATATCTATAATGACTTAGAAAACAGAATATTGAATATTTTCCAAATTCTTCTTTTGTGAAATTGATAGATTTTCAAATAAAAAATATAATTATTAAAATTAACCATTAATTACAATTATTCCTTATTTAGTTATTAAAATACATTTAAAAAGTTATATTTCAAGTTTTTAATATAAATATTAAAATCAATTATAGCATTAAATTTATTGTAAATGAATTTATATATCACTCAATCGTTATATATGTTATATATACATATATTTGTAATGATTTTAATATTATGTTAAGGAAATTAATTCAGTTTTATTCCGAAAACATACTTATTATTTTTATTGCGATAAATACAGAACACGATAATTAAATCTACATTGTCCTGTAATTTTGATACATATAATAAATATGTTATTTTAAAAATAAAAATGATTAATTGATAAATTTTTGTTAAAATTTCTACTTAAAAACACTATTTTGTCATTTAAAATCAAATAGTTTTTTCTATTTACAAAGGCACTTAGCGATATAAGCAATTAAATTTTTTAGAATACAAAATAAAATAATAAATGCAGAAATTGCGTTTAGAAATGTATTTAATTAATATAAAGGTACTTTCGTCTTGCATTCTAAAGATTTTAAAGTCTTAATCATTATGTACAGAAAAATCAATTTTTTTTCCAAAAGCTAGTGACTATTAATGATGTTCAAAAACTGTTCCAGCAGTAAGACTTTTTTGCAGAAAAAGTAGCATAACGCTATCTTCGTTTTTAGTCATAATTAAAAATATTTAAAACATTTTATTGCAATTATCAACTCGTAAGTTGTAAAATAAATTTTTTTTACAAATTTATAAGTTTGGACTACAGAAAATACATTATATAAAGTTAATTTAATAGTCAATTAAATTTCAATGGGGGGTGACTTTTTTACTGGAATTAATCGAGTAGAAATTAATTTAGGATTTCGCGGAGTGCTACGCAGCGTGCGTGTTGGATTCGCGGATGTTGGTGTACTGATCGCCAGTACTTTTCTTCTCACAGGTTTGATTGGTGTTTTTATCAAAGTCATATCAATTCCTGCTTTTTTAAATGTTTCTTCAGGAAGCACAGAACTTCGTAATTCATCTCGACTTGCAAGATGCTCTTGAAAATTTCCATATGAGGACACAGAAAGAGTCGTATCATTTTTCGATTTCCGCTTCTTTTTGTTAGTAAATTTTACTTTTATACTTCCGTTTGTTCCATGTATCTATAAAAGAATTTTCATTTTAAATTTTAATTATATTATTATTTATTTAATTTAAAATTCTCCTATAAAAATTTAAGCAATTATTTGTATGTTTTTAAAGAAAATTGAATTTTTTTCTAGTATTAGACTATAATCAAAACAAAATGGATCATGTATAAAATTCAAATGAATAATCAATTGGTAGAAATTGAAATAAAATCTTAAATTAAATTAATTAAAAATTTCAATTTTGTTATATTTAGTTTTTAACAAGTTACTGGTTTAGAGATAAATAGTAGTTTTTGGTGTTTCTTTATTTAGATAAAAACATTTTTTTTAAGTTTGAAATTATACATTAAAAATGTATAAAATATATTTATTAATTTATGATAGAGTGATTATTAGCCAAGTTTTGAAATACTTTATAACTAATGTAATTTTCGTATAACTTCCAAATAAAAAATTTAATAACAATCATTTTGATACCTTTTTTATTATTGTAGAATGAACAAACATGTAAAAAATTTCTTTATTGTAGTGTACGGTGGATAATGGCACCAGAACAACTGGTTAATTTAAATTTATTAAAATTACAAAAAAATTTAAAAATAAAATACTTCTAAGTTTTTATTTGTTGTAACTTATTTATGCATCCTTATCATTTGTATGTTACATATACATTTTTTAAATTAGATTTTAATTTAGAAAGAAACAGCTATTTCTTAAATCATATGAAAACATTTATTTGAATCTCGAAATTGTATGATCTTTTTGAAGGTAAGAATGTGCTTATATTTTATTACGTTATCGATATCAATTATCAAATTATCAATAATTATAAACTCAAATATATATATTTTTTTAATTCAAAATTTTAATAATTGAAATTTAATGAGATAATATGAATTGCTCAGTGTTTAATAATTAACACAAAATTAATAAATGAAAAACAATTTAATTTTTTTAGAATTAATTAAGAATTTGTTTTCAAATAAATATGCTTACTCTACTGCTTCTTCTGACTTTATTACAAAGAACAGTTCCTTTATTTTTTTCTGTATTTGTAGCTCGTTTTTTATTGCCTATTATATTAGGTGATATATCATATGGTAGTTTTCTTTTGGCTGAAGGAGTAATTCTAGACACATTAGATCCGCCTGGAGTATATAGTCTATTGCTAGCAGGAGTGATCTTGAGTATACTTGTTACAACTGGTGTACGTTTAGAGGTACTTAATGGTGTTTTTTTAGTAGACCTATCTTTTGCTTGTTTCTACAAAAGAAAGGGTGTATAGTAAAATTTTTTTTACGTAAATGAAAAAGTATATGTCTTTTACTTACTCTTACTAATTTCATATTTTCTTTTTCAATTTCATAATTTTCTCTAATATGATTCATGAATTCTCTTAAAGAGAAACCATATATTAAAAATATTTTCTTGTGAATATTTTCATATTCATCAACTAAAATATGTAATTGACTTTCTAATTTTGGAAGTTTCTAATATAGGTGAATAAGTAATTATTTATCAAAAATTTATAAATGCCCTAATTAAATAAAAATATACTGTATTAGCTATTTTACCTTCTCAGCAGTTTTTCGCTCTTTTTCTTCCATTAATAATTGTCCGCCCCTGTTATGATAACGGTCAGGATCATTTGCTCGTTGATCTAATTCTTTCAATTTTTCAAACTGAATTTCCCATTCATTCAACAGCTCAAACATTTTTCTGTATAATAAACCATTGTGAAAATAAATATATAAAACAATTTTAGTCGAAATATTTTACCTATTAGAATTATAGTATTTACGAAGATTTTCTATTTCTAATTCATGAAGTGTAAGAAGATCATCTGTATATGTTTGACATTTCATAGCTGTAAATGATTTTTTTTGAAGTTCACTAAATTTACACGATTTCCATAAATTTTCGATTTCAATTCTTACTTTGTCAATATAAGTTGCAACATTTTCTCTTCTTTTTTCCTTACATCTTTTTATTTCAGTATTAAGCTATAATAATAATCTTAATGTTTAGTTATTTTTTAAAATGTAATTTTTTAATTTTACAAATAATATTTTTATAGTTCCATTCATAATGAATATATCACAATATAAATAATGATTAAATTTTGCAAAATTCAACGTTGAATAAAATTCGGTATTCTGGATAAATTTTGTACTTACAGCACTTAGTGTAATCATACTATATCCTGAATAATTTTCAAAGAAAGCTTGTCGAGTCTTCTGAGGTTCATCTAAATAATCCCATAATGATATTAAAGTTTCTTTTTTTTCTTGAGCTTGTAACTTTGCTTGTTCAACTTGGCTTTTCAATTTTTCTTTAAGATCTTTTAATTTGGTCATATTGTTTGAAGAATAAATAAAATTACCATGATCGTGATAAATAATTTTTTCAAAATCTAAAGTTGGATTAATATGAAGCTCTTCCATCATTTTAATAATTGATCGTCTTGAATCTTTAAACATTTCTGTTAAGCGATTCTAAAGTAAAATAGTAAAATATTAAAATTTGATTATAATTATAATTATTCAATACTTAATACCTTTTCTACTTCTTGTATATTTATGTAACTTTCAAATTTTTTAATTTCTTGTTCTAAGAGAAGATCAGAATTAAATCCAATAGGCTTTAAACCTATTTTTATGCAAATTTCAGCTTCCTGTAAGTAATTTAGCATTAGTCAAATAATAGCATATTTTATTAGTCCAATATTAGTTGATTTACCTTTGTTACTAATTCTTTAATATACTTTAAACGTTGATTTTTTAAGTACTGCAGTTGTTGTACTTGTTCTTGTAATTTGAGTTCTAATTCTATTAATGGTAAATCATCATACGAATCTGTTGCAAAATTAGTTCCTAATTCCTATATTTTTAATAATTATAAGACAATATTTTAATAATGACTATTTTAATTATGAAATTATTAAAAAAATATTTAATAAATTATACTTTAGAAAATTTTCGAGCAGATTGTGCTAGTGCTTTAACATTTTTCAGGAGATCTTTTTTTTTTTGATTAGACTCATCTACCATATCTTTCATTAAACCCTAATATAAAAATTAAATGATTATCATTATAAATTGTCATTATATATCATCATTTTAAATTACATTAAGAAAATTATTATTTTTATTCTAAAAACTTACTATAAGATGATTTAGAACTTGATCTGCATATGTATTTAATACTTCTTTTCTAATACCTACTTCATCCCATATTTTGAAAAGTTCTGATATTTCTTTTTCACATATTGCTTTTGCTTTTTCCATTATGATTTCTCTATAAAAAATATAGTTTTAAAATAAATCATAAAATAAAATTTATTTTTACTCTCATAAAACAAATTTTATTAAAATAAATTTTTAATAATATTTTCATAAACACAGAATAAACATGGAAAGCATATTTCAAAATATAAAAATATAAATAAATGTTACTAAATGAATTTCATTATATTTATTTTATTTTTATTATTGAGAAACTAAATATTATCTTTTTTAATAAATAAATGTTCTTACTTTACATATAAATTTTAAGTTTACTAAAAGGTAATTATTTTAAAAATAATAAATACTTGATTTTATTTGGTATTAAAGTCTGAACTTGTGCAAGCTTATTCAAAAACTTCTATCATTTGTAACATTTGTTTGAAGACTTTCCAGCCAAGGTAAAAATTCATAACAGTACTTATTTGCATACAACTAATAATCGTATCTGTTTTATGTATGTATGGATAATTATGTACAGATATAATATTTGTACATCTTATAAAACATCCATTTTCAATTATATACTATGACCTTTATAAATATAAGTAAATTTACTTATTTCGGATAACGGCTAATAAGCAAATGTGAAACAAAACTTACTTAATTGAACTCATTTTCACCGTTCTTGAAATACTTGAAGTTTATCGTAAAAAATATATCACTATGCAATTAATAGCAATGATATCAAATAATATGACAAATGTTAAAATATATTTAACTTTTGGCATTTACACAATGCCTTTGATATTTTGACAGTAAACACAATTTATACGCAGTCTGTATTACCTTAATTTCTTGATAATCTAGTATCTCATCAACGTTTATCTTTTGAAATTCAAAGGCGACCGTCTATTGGTATTCAGTTTACCCCTCTTTTAGAGACCTAACCTAAAATAAAATAGTGAAAAGATGTGTATGACGTTCCTAAAGTAAGCATATTTTGCCCATTTTTCTCCTACTCATTACAAAAACCAATTATTGATATGTATTTAATTATCGGATATTTATTTTAATGTTACAATTTAATAAAATAAAAAAACGATAATTTTAATATTTAAAATAGCTCAACTTAGAAACAATAATTATTTTTACAACAATATATTTTTAATACAAAAAATTATACATATGCATTAAACTTTGCCTTAAATACAATCATGATCCTAATTATTATATAACATACAATTATTGTCATTGTCGTTTAAATATTATAAATTAAATTCATCATAATTAAATATTGTTATAAATTTAATTAATTAAATAATACAGTAAATTATAATTATATAATCATGTATATATATATAAATAATATTTATTTGCAATATATTATAGTATACAATATAATTTTTTCTTAGATATATTTATTGAGATTTTTTATAAACAATTTAATGTATATATAATTTATCATTTATAAATTCTATTTCAAACACGAAATGTGTTTGGAAATTAAGATTGAATTAATTTTCGATGATTGGCTTACAAGTGTAATTCTTATAACGGTATATGCCTAACTCAAAAATCATGATTTCATAACCAAGTTTTAGTTGTTACCGCCAAATTTTCGCGCGTTTTTACGTTTAATGGTTGTAATTCTCTTAGAAATCAAGTTACATTAGATTGTTTTTTAACGTATAATTTCATTACTTCAGTATTATTAATTCATTTTCTTTTCATTTTTATAGTTTACAAGTAAAATTTATTTATCTAAAGTTAAATTGTAAAATATAAATATAATTTAAACTTTATAATTATATTGCTGTTATAAATTCTGATTATGGTAAATTTACTAAACTTATTTCTAACATATTATAAAAATTCCTTTACTTTTTATATTGATTTATAGAGTCAGTTAAGTTCTCCAACAAATTCAGATTGGCATGATTCCTTGACATCTCCTGCTCCTGATTTTGATGAACCATTTGCAGATGAAAATCATTTATTAAGTGGTGAAAATGAAATTCAAGAAGAAGAGGGAGAGGAATTGTTTGGAGAAAATATGGAAATGTATATTAATTTTATTAATAAATATGTAAATTTAAAAAGTTTAAAATAAATTAAAAAATCAAACATATATCTTTATACTAGATCAAAGGTTAATTCTTAAATTAAAAAAATGTTCGAGCTACAAATAATTTTAAATTTAATTAGTTTAATCATTAACTATTCTTGTATTTGTTTTGTTAATAAGTGTATTATTTTTAATTATTTGTATAGTGACTATCAACCTATATCAGCACTTGACAGATATGAACATGATGTAGTTGATGATGAACATTATTCAGAATTATCCCAAGGAGAACGTGTTGCTGCTGAAGCTGCTATGCGGAGAAGAGATCAAGTTGCTGGAATAATTAGAGATGATAGAGATTTGCTATATGGTATCTTTTTTCATAATTATTTAAATAATTATTAAATTAAATTTATATAATTTTTTATATACAGTTTTATATAAAAATTTGTCGAAAAGCTTTATTAGGGTGGATAGTGTGTCTTATACTTAATTATTCATTTTTTATTTTAGAGGATAGTGATGATGAAGATCTTTCTCGTAAACGTAATATGGCTGAAAAGATTGCAGCTGGAGAAATCAATGATAATGAAGTAGATTTCAAGCTTTATTTTATTACAAGTACTTTTTATAACATATAATTAGAATAAAAATCTATTTTAGATGATAGAATCAATTGAAAATTTAGAAGATACTAAAGGTCACTCTGTTAAAGAGTGGGTTACTATGTTGGCTCCTAGAAATGAAATTGCTAATAGATTTAAAAGTTTTTTAAGAATATATACAAATTCGAAAGGACAATATGTATACAAAGAACGTATTCGACATATGTGTGAAAATAATCAGGTAAATTTTTATGAAAATATACATAAATTATGTGTAAAATTTATTTATATATTTCATAGTCTAGTTTTATAGTTGAATTCGCAGTTCTTGCAAGTAAAGAGCATGTACTTGCTTATTTTTTACCAGAAGCTCCATTTCAAATGTTAGAAATATTTGATGAAGTTGCCAAAAACTTCGTTTTAACTATTTTTCCAAGTTATGAAAGAGTTACTACTGAAATTCATGTTAGAATTTCTGAACTGCCTCTGATTGAAGAATTAAGAACATTTAGGTAAATTTGGCTACATATTAATTTTCAAGTTTGTTTTGTTTATTATTATCATTATCGATTATTTATTAATTATAATTTTTAGAAAACTCCATTTAAATCAATTGGTACGTACATTAGGAGTTGTAACAGCAACAACAGGAGTTTTACCACAATTGTGTATTGTAAGGTATGATTGTAATAGATGTGGATATATCTTAGGTCCTTATACGCAGACACAAAGTCAAGAAATTAAACCTAACAAATGTCCTGAATGTCAAAGTAGTGGCCCATTTCAAGTAAATTTACCAAATTTATATAAAATAATTTCACGTTTAAATATAATAAAATTATATTAAATATTTTTTTAAACATACATAAAGTTTAATATCTAGTATTTATTAATTGTAAATGTTTTAATTATTCCTGTAGATTAATATGGAACAAACAATATATCGGAATTATCAAAAAATTACAATTCAAGAATCACCAGGAAAAATTCCTGCAGGCAGAATACCTCGCAGTAAAGATTGTATTCTATTATCTGACCTTGTTGATCGTTGTAAACCTGGAGATGAAGTAGATATTACCGCTATTTACACTAATAATTATAGTGGATCTTTAAATACAGAAGAGGTAATACAAACATTTTTTTGTAAGATGAGTGTGCATATGATGCATAAATAACTCATTGTTTTTTATAATGTTAGAAAAATATATATTTAATAGTAATAAATTATAATATTTATAGATTCGATAAAAGAACTATATATAGCTACATTTGATTCTAATTCATTGATCGATATTAATTCCAGGGATTCCCAATCTTTTCAACAGTTCTTTTGGCAAATCATTTATATGTTAAAGATTCAAAAGATATTGTAGATTCATTAACAGAAGAAGAAAAACATTATATTTTAAAATTGAGTAAAGATCCTCACATTGGTGATCGTATCATTACTAGCATAGCACCATCCATTTATGGCCACAAATTTATTAAAAGATCTTTAGCTCTTTCAATATTTGGTGGAGTTTCTAAAAATCCTGGAAAGTTTTTTTTTTTTTTTTTTTTTATGTAACAAAACTTTTGAAACATACTTTTAATTTTATAGGTATGAAACATAAAGTAAGAGGTGACATAAATATTTTAATATGTGGAGATCCTGGAACAGCTAAGTCACAATTTCTCAAGTATACAGAGAAAATTGCACCTAGAGCAATTTTTACAACAGGACAAGGTGCTTCTGCTGTTGGTCTTACGGCTTATGTTAGAAGATCTCCTATCACTCAGGAATGGACTTTGGAAGCTGGTGCTTTAGTACTTGCTGATAATGGCGTCTGCCTAATTGATGAGTTTGATAAGGTAATAATATTGTTTTTAAAAACTAAGTTTATCAAAACTAATTATTTTTTCTTAAAATATTTAATATTTTTAACACGTATTTTAATTATGTATCAGATGAATGATCAAGATAGAACATCTATTCATGAAGCTATGGAACAACAAAGTATTTCAATTTCTAAAGCTGGTATTGTTACATCGTTGAATGCAAGATGTGCAGTAATTGCTGCTTCTAATCCAATTGGTGGTAGATACGATGCAAGCATGACATTTGCTGAAAATGTAAATTTTGTATTTCATAAGTATTTATTTATCAAAATCATATGTTTATACAGTAATTTTTAATTTTTAGGTAGATTTATCTGAACCAATTGTATCACGTTTTGACATATTATGTATAGTTAAAGATGAAGTAGATCCCATGCAAGATAGGCATTTAGCAAATTTTGTTGTTAATTCTCATATTAAACATCATCCAACCAACTCGGAGAAAATTATACCACCACAGTTAAAAAACTGGGCAGACAAAAATATAGAAGAACTTGAACCATTAGATCAAGAAATTTTGAAAAAATACATTGTTTATGCAAAACAAAATATACATCCAAAACTTAATAATGTAGATCAAGATAAAATTGGGAAATTATATAGTCGATTAAGACAGGAAAGTTTGGTATTTATTTTTTATTTAAATTAATTCAATTTGATCAGTATTATTTAAAAGTTCCTTATAAAAATTATATTGTATTTAAAAGATAACTGGAAGTCTTCCAATTACTGTTCGTCATATTGAAAGTATTATACGAATAGCTGAAGCCAATGCCAAAATGCATTTACATGAATTTGTGCGAGAAGAAGATATTAACCTCGCTATTAGAATGGAACTTGAAAGTTTTGTTGAAACCCAAAAATATTCTGTTATGAAAGACATGCGTCTGGTAAAAAATTTAATTATATTTAAAATAATTTTAAATCATTTATCATTAATTTTAATAAGAAATTTATATACTATAGGCATTTAATAAATACTTAACATTTGAAAAGAATCATAATGAGTTATTATATTTTGTACTTCGGGGTCTTACATTAGATGCTTTGGCATTCCAAAAAGCAATATACAGAGGTCATATAACTTCAGTTGAAATTGTTGAAAAAGATTTATTAGATAGGGTATGTAAACAATAAAATAAAATGTGTTATGCTAAAATATAAAACAATTTTATTATTACATATTTAATCATTCTTGTTGTTTATTTTAATCAAAATATTTTATTTCAGGCCAAGCAGTTTAATGTATACAATCTTTCAACATTTTATAAGAGTAATCTATTTAGATTGAATAATTTTATTTACGATTCAAAACGTAAAATTATTATTCAAACATTGCCAGCAATCGATGAAGATTAATACTCAATTATAACATTTTTCTTAATTTATCATAGACTCATTTCATTGTTCCCATATATTCATACATTATATTGTTTGTTTACAGATGGTAAATTTAAAATTATTATTTGTAGTATACTTCATAGTAAAAAAATATCTTAATTTTTTAATAAAAATGTATTCTGTTTTATTTTATGACATACAAACATGACTTTCTATTAAAAATATGTGTTTTCACCTTTTTATTTCTATTAACAAGTAATTCATTAACTTTAACACAAAAATATGTAAAACAGGTCTAATATAATCATGATTTACTTATTTTTTATTAGAATGTTACAATATTCACGAATTAAAATGAAAAAAATTTAATAAATTAATAATATAATAAATAATTTAATATATAATATATAATAATATATAATATATAATAATTTAATAATTTAATAAAATTTAATCTTACAACTAATTTGTGTTTTACACAATTATATATATAATTTTATTTTTATTTTGAATAATTAAATAATACTCTTAATTGAAATATTTATTGTTACATATTTATTAGTTCAGGGAAATAATAGGTATAATTAAGATTTTATTTTCAAGGTTATATTAGAATAATTTAAAATTATTTACAGATATAAGAATAAATATTAATTAATTAAATAACAGTCTTTAGCATAACATTATTTATTTCTATTTAAGATGGAAATTATATAGTTGCATTTAAAACTTGCATAAATCATCATTAAACTTATCAAGATTATAAAGCAAAATCATAAAATTGATGTAATACACAGTTATCATTTTTGTTTATTTTTATTTTAATTATTTAAAAGCTCATTAGTACTGCTAGAATCAATACAACTAGTATTACTAGTTAAAATACTTTTAGAATTAGATGACTCACTATCTAAACAACTGCTACTATTACTGATATTTTCGTTCCTGTTGTTACCACTGATGTTAATATTGTGACTGTTTATATCAACATTCTGAGCTTTTGATTTATTTCTTATTGATTCGTCTATAGAGTTAATTTTACTTCCTAACCTTTTATAAATTATAAAGTAAAAATTAAAAAATTGATTAAATTTGATTTCTCATATATATACATGTTATTTATATATAAATATTAATATTAAAATCGATGCAATTTAACTATCAAAATATAAATAACATTGAAACTATATTATTTTTCTTAATCAAATATATTTAAATAGTTATTTTAGTATTTTAATTTAATATTTGAATATTAAATACTTACATAGTCATTTTATTTGATTCAATAGCTTTCTTCAAATGAACTGTTCGAGATGTACGATACAGATATTTTCTTTTTCCTTTACAATCATAACTCCAATGACCCATTTCAAGACATTTTTGACATCGCACTTTTTCTAAGGGATATGGATTGCTGAAGCAGAAATTCATAAAACATCTATTTACGAAATTTTAATAAATATAGTACATTTCATAACCTATTAATGATATTTCATCGTCATTTTTATGCAATAAAAACTTCAAATAGACTTTATAAAGTTACAAAATATAATTAAAAATAAAATTGAATAGAATATTTAAAAGAAACTTACGGTTTTTTTTCAAATTTTATTTTAGCATTCATTGTTTTTTATAAAGTACCTCACTTAATAACTTTACTAGAATGAATATGATTTTAAAACTGATAATTGAGGAACTTTTATAAAAAAAATATTTTTACATTACAATTAATTTTATAGTAATTATAAAAATTAAACTTTACATATATATTAAAGTTATAGTATTTTATTGAATAAGAATTTTTTTGCGAAATAATTATTATCTCTATGTAACATAAATCTTTGTTTCTTTTAAACTTAATTATATTATTCATATTTACAATGTTTAAAGTTTGATATGCTGTATGCTCATAGAACGTACCCACATTTCATTTGTAATATTTATTTTACAGAATGAGTTTATCACAAAAGGTTATACGTCAAGTTAGACCTGAAGTAGATAAACTTAATTTCAATGTTTATTTTGCATAAAAATGTTCTATTAAATGTATTAATTTTTAATTTTATGAAAAATATAATGATTTTAATTTCCGACGATATTTAATGTAATATCAGTAATTATTTCATTTAATAAATACCCTTGCTAGAATAGAAATTTTTATGAAGGTGATATTTGAATATTAAAAAACAGTTTTTAAAATGGTAAAATAGAACAAGAATTTCAAATAAGAAACCAATGTATGATGACGATGGTCTAAATTTTATTTATAATTTATATTATTTATAACATTACAAGTGCAATTATTAAATAATATTCTTAAAAATTGTTATTTAATTAAATGATATAATATTGAAATTAGTCCTCTTTATTTTCTTTACATTATTATTCTGCTTCATACAGAAAATGCTTAATTTCTTAAAACTATATTAAAATAAACAAAAACTAATTATAATATAAAAAATTTCACAATTTATATCTGAAACGTTTAATTCTATATATTTTATTTAATTATATAAAATATAAACAAATTTATTCATTTATGTTTATTTTATATTTTATATAAGTACTACTTAAATATTAGTTTATTAGTTAAATTGTTATTAATCTCTGATTATAGTATAAATTAAATATTAAATGTTCTTCAGCTAAAATGTGATAATCAATTTATAATATATTTATTTACTATCAATGTTCAATATGAGATTTGATTAATTCCTAATTTTTCTTAATTTTACAAATTTTTTACAGCTGTCGCACGTACAAAAACAGGATATGTATTAAAAATGATGTATAGGAATGATAAAATTTGTAAGAATAGAAGGACGTTGGTTAACATATGGATTTTATATTATCAGCTTATTTCGTAATTACGGCAGTGTTGATCGTACATTTAGATACATGCATAAGGAGACGCGATAAGTGAATGGACAGGAGAGAAAGCCAACCAAATTAATTGTATCTTAAAATATTTTCATTCAATTTATATAAATTATAATAATTTATGTACGTGACTATATATATATATATATATATATTTTGTATATAACAGAGATTATAAATAATATTATTTAGATACATTATTTTATAACTTCAATAATTTCAAAATTAGATTATAAACATTTTATATTTACTGATTAGTACCATTTACATGGAGTAACGAAATATAATATAAATGAGATATAGTATGAAGTAATTTAATGTAAGATTTAAAACTTGCATATTTATTTGTTGGTATTCAACTTTAATATTGTTGTAGCTAATTGAATAAGCTTAAAAATTAAATGAATAAAATTGAAAATACGTTTTTAGCGATTTTTCCAATTTTAAATTTTTGTCGTATTTTAGTTATTTTATTATTAAAAACTATAAAACAATTTAACTATTGAAAATTACATTTTTCACTCATTATTTTAGAAATTTTTAATCACATAAAAATAAATATAAAAATAAAAGAATTAAAAACGTTTCAATTTTACGATTGATCTTTAAACAGAAAAAATTATATTTTAATAATAGAAATTAATAATTTTCAATATTTCGGGTTTTAATAAATTTATTTTATTCAATACTTTCCAACATATGTTCATATAAAAAGATAATGACATTTTATAACGAAGATATTTTTGTCATAATATCTTGTGAATATTTTAAAATATTAAAATGATTTTTTTTAATTATTATTATTTTTAATAATAACTTAATTACTATTTTAATCAACTATTATTAATAACTAACTATTTTATTTAGGTATTAAATTAAAATAAATGATTTTTTTTAAATATTGTGAATTATAAATTACGTCATTAAATTTTTAATCGTAAGTATGGAAGAAATAAAAATAAATATGTAATGTTTAATTAATGCAATTTATAGTTATAGGTAAATATATAGTTATTAGATTTGCCTATCATTAAAATGGCCTTATTTAATATTTAGTTGATTATTTAACCAACATGGTCACTTTTTTAAAATTATTTTTATCATAAACTAAAATATTATTTAATAACTGCTTAGCTAAAAATATTCTTTAAATAAATAATAATTTGATACTTTATTCTATATGTTTATATTAATATTTAAATTTAAGATTAACATTTAATTAATATATTTGTGAATTTTTATATTTATTTTAATGTGTATTTACATTTACAAAAAATATAATAACAAGGGAACGTATGAAGTTAACATAATCTATGTTATGTATTACATATATAATACATTTAATTTTTTTCTTTTATTTAGATTATTTAGGTATTGAACTTTAAATTTTTTTGTAACATCAAGACCTTAATAACAAATACGTATTGTCCATCTTATTGTAAGGCATTTATACCCTATATAATATTTTAATAATTTAATTTACTTGTATTTTAAAAACTACTGTTGTTCAATCTCATAGGATATTCAATAGTATGTTATTGTAGTAACAATTATTAACACAAGAAAGTTAATATTCAACTAATTTGAATTAATACAGTATACTTAAGTTCAAATATAACACACGTTCACACTCATGTACATATATATATATATATATATATATATATATATATATTTATGTAAGTATAGATTTGTATATCTTATACCCTTTACAAATTACTTTAATATGTTGTTGCTTTATTTCTAGTCTTAAAAAATAATTAATATTCTTCTTTAACCAAGCATCGTACTATGGACAATTTTTAAACAATAACGAATATGTTATTGAGTAAAAATTACTTGCTATAGGATTGTATAGATTCTAAAATAATTTATTAAATTTGAGATTATCTTTTTGTTCTAAAGATATATCTGAAATTTTAATTATTGTTTCGATATTATTATAATATAGGTGTTGAATAATAGTAACTTGAAACATTTATATCTATAACCAAAATTGAGAATGGCATAAAACATTTCAGATTAGACATAAACAAAAAAACTAATTATATTTTGAATGATTTTGATAGGTATTGATGAAAATAATTTTATTATTTTTTGGAGAGAAATTTACTATATACAAGAATAATACTATTTATTTTTAACAATAATTTGTAAAATGTAATGTCTGTTTTTAAAATAGTGTTTGTTGAATGTTCCATATGATTGTTGTTTATTATTTTATTAAAAATGAAAGATTTTTTTGGAACTTATTAATAAATTATATTTATAATTCTGTTACATAGATCTATAGGGTCCTTGCATCTTAAGGAATTGAATAACTAGCGAGGGTCCACCAGCAACTATTTCCGATGGTATTTGCGATAAGGGACAATTTTCAATTGACATAATACTAAGGCTAGTGCAAAGTGCCAGCTCAAATGGTAAGTTATGAAGGTTTATGTTGTCATTGATGTAAAGAGAATCTAAATTTTCCAGCGTACCAATTTCTTCTGGAAGATAATTTAAATTATTTTCTCCAATACTGAGATGTGTGAGATTCGTAAGATGACCAATAGCTCGTGGTAATGAAGTAACTTGATTAGATTGTAAAATTAACTTTTGTAGATCTTTAAGAAAACCAATTTCATTTGGTAATGAATCAATTTTATTTTCTTCAAGATCAAGTACTCTTAACTTATGTAAATTAGCAATACTACTAGGAATACGTTTTAAGAGATTATTTGAGAGAATGAGTATTTCGAGATTTTGAAGATATTGTATATCATCTGAAATCTTTGTCAGTTGATTTGTGCCTAAATTTAACTCTACCATATTAATCCAAGTCCCAGTATCAAGTGGCAAAGCAGTTAATTGATTCTCCTTCATGTTTAATTTTGTAAGATTTTTAGTTCTTGAGAAGATACCATATGGAATCTTGTCGATTTTGTTATGTTCCAGATTGATAGAATAAGTATTTATAAATTGTGAAGGCCCACCAGATGGATAAGCCATGAAAGTATTTCTTGATAGTGTAATCGTTTTTAGATTTGATAAACTTGAAAGTAATCCATCGGGCAACTGAGATACTTGATTTCCTTCTACACTGAATTCATCCATAAGTTTACAATTAATCAAAGATTTGGGAATATTCGAAAGGCGATTATATCTTAAACCTAATCTCGTTAGAGATACGAGATTTCCAATTGTTTCTGGAATATCTAGAAGCTCATTGTGTTGTAAATCAAGAGTAGATAACTGAATACATTTGCCAATTTCTTTCGGTAAGTGTTCCAAATGATTATGCGAGACATCAAATGTGACAAGATTGATAAGTTTTCCAATGCCAGCGGGAAGCTCCTTAATTTTATTTTCCCTTAAACTCAACATTGTCAGGTTCGTCAAATTTCGTATGTTATCACTAACATATTTTACTCTGTTAAAGCGGAGAAACAGTGTTGTTAATGATGTAAGTTTATAAACAACTTCTGGAATCTCACTGAGTTTGTTATGCCTTAGATCTAAAACTTTGAGCAGCTTTAGGTTCTCTAGAGTACTAGGTAAACTTGTCAATGAATTCTCACTCAATGCAAGAGTTTTTAAATTTTTCAGGCTTCCTATTTCTGAAGGAAGGGTTACTAATTTATTACCATACAAATAGAATTCAACAAGATGTGCTAAATCTCTAACACTATTTGGAAGATTTGTAATGCTAGATTTACTCAGATCAAGCCTTTTGAAACCCTCATCTCTACACTTTAAAAATTCTTTCGAGACATCCAAGTCAGCTTGTATAGGTTTTCCTTTTTTTGTAGTAGGTTTAGGTTTATTAGACTCAGGGTGTTTGACCGTAACAATTTTCTTCGTCTCACTAGTTGATATTGAAGCACTCGCAAACTTCTTCTCTTTGGTTTGCTCTTTAACCTAATTGAAAAAAAATTATGAGCAAGGGAATTTCAATAATACTGTTACATATATAAATTAAAATAAGTTTCATCATTCAAAATATGATCTGAAAGTAATGATATGAAAATCCAATCACTTTTAGTTACTTTTCTTTCTAAATGATAAAAAATTACAAATTTTAAAAAGTTTTTAAAATCTATTACTTTTAATAAAATCTAAAATATAAATTATGTAGTTAGTAAAATAAGTAGATTATTGAAGTTTAAAAATAAAATAAAATTTTGTAAATTAGTCAAAAATAAAACACTTTTCTTTAAACAATTTTATTTTTTATAATAGTATCTGTTTTAATATTTTCTTCTATTTTTATAGATTTAAACATTTTAAATTAAAAATAGTATTTCATATAAAAAAATTAAAATAAAATGTAATTTTAAAGGCTAAAATAAACAAAATATTAACTCTTAAATTTGAAAGAAAAATGTCTTTATCAATAAAATAATTATCTCTAAATTATGTATTCAATATAACTGGATTATATATTAAAATTATTTCTCAAATTATAAATATCAAATATTATGACAATCAATGTTTTTATTTAAATACAAGGAATTCATATATAAAAACATATTTTAAAATAATTTTTTTATATATTGAATTGAGTATATTATTTCTTTATAAATTCAGATAATTGAGAATAAAAAATATTTTTATTAACCATATGAAAATGAACTTAATTTTACTATAATATAAAATTTATTTAAACAAATTTTAATTTTAATCTAAAATAATTTTATCAATGATTTTTTCTGAATTCTAATATTACTTTTTATAATAAAGAAAATTATATTCTTATGTTTAATATTGGTAATAACAATTTCTATAATTTCTATTTCAAAGTTATTAAGTTATTAAAAATTATGAAGAATAATAAGTTTTACTATTTGATTATTGTATATAGAATAGAAGTATGTAGTTATTAACAATTCTAATTCAAATTTGATTCCATAAATAAATAACATTTATTTGAAAATGTTGGGAGTATACTTATAATAAATATTGAATATGACATAAATATTTTTATATAAAATTAAATTAATCACATTGTAGGATATACTATTATTAGCTTGTAATTATTTAGATTTCAATATGCCTATAAATTGTTATTCTTGACTAATTTACAAATACACTATCTTAAATTCATTATATTAAATTTTTAAAATAAATATTCAGTTTAATTGATAATAATATTAACCAAAATGTTCATAATTCTTATTAATAAAAAATTATAAACCATGTAATATTATTTCATTCATTTTTATTGATATTTTAAATATAGATAAATAATTGCTTATTATAATAAATGTATTATAGATTTGTACAATGCTTTTAATAAGTTGCTTAATAATTGTATATTTGTAAAAATTTGTGTAAACGGTGTACATATGTATGAATATATATTATTAAAAAATTTTTAATTAAATATAATATAAATATAATAAAAAAATTTAATTATATTTATAAAGATTAATCATAAATGCTTAAATATCATGATTTAACATATAATTAATGGCAAATAATGAGTTTCTATATAAAATGAAGTTTTTATATCACCTGGATACAGGTTTCTTTAATGAAATTGCATGCCTCAGGCATATTATTGCTAGCTGCAGCCAATAATCCACAACCCTCTAAATACTCTGGAATTTCCTGCTCCTTCATGTAAGTATACGTTTAATTAATTTAAATGATCTTTCTATTTTTAGTTTAAGTGTATCACACTTAAACTTGATTTATCTTTTCTTCTTTATGCAAATTTAACCATTGATGAAAGTAAAAAATAATTATAAATAAATTCAGGCACTTTTTTGCTATTTTTTATTTTCTTGACTTTATTTACATGCATACATTTGCTTTGCCTGGTGTGTTTTACTTTTTCACCCTATCACTGTATATTTACATACCTTCTATCTTTGTACCAATTATTGTATTTATATTATAAACTGGTTTAGAAATATTACAAATTTTTTTCAGAACTATAAATATTACTTGGTTTTTCGTTTTTGTGCAAATGCGTAATAGTACACTGCACATATACCACCTATATACACATCTGTAGTCTGGAATCTTTCTTTTGACGAAACAATATTTCTATTTATTCATAGATTTTTATTTGGAATTTACTATCCTTGTTGATATTTTTATACAGCATTTTTAACAATCGAGATATGAAGACAGTGTATATGTATATCAGATGTTAATAGCTCTATTATATATAAATAATTTGCGTTCTCAATAGCCAGTGCTCTTTAATACTATCGCTAACTTCAATGTTTTAGTTGAACCAGCGGCCACATTGGCGTTGTAATATAAAATGTTTTTTATATTTCCTATAATTGAGAAAAATGTTTGTCGAATCATACAATAATAAAATTTTAAACTATAAACCAATAAAAATATTGATGTATTTCTGTTTTATAATTTATCTAATTTAGTTTATATAGATTAAAATAATAAAAAAATAATATTAATTTGAAGAAATTTTTTAATATTAATATAATATGAATCTGATTATTAATAAAAAATTGTTTAGGTGAAATTAAATTTACTTTATTGTAATATATTTTGTATATAAATAATTAAAATGATTATATAATGCTGTTTAAAATTAAACTATGTCCATCAGTTTAATGGTGAGAGAAAAGTGTAGAAAAGTGGAGGGGTAGCGCATTGATTCAATATTTAATAAATCTGCTTTTCGTACTGTTTATTGCGTTTTATTTTACAAACTACATTATAATGGTTCTAAGTTGATGACGAGAATCGTTGAGATCTTGCAGTTCCGTGTGGTTGCCTCGTAGTATTAGCATACACTACATGTAGAGGTAGGAGATCGTAAATCTCCGGATCCTCTTGACCTAATACGCTTGGTGGTAAATTACTACACTGAGAAGTAAGAGGTCGTAAATCTCTTGACACTTCTTCGTATATTGCTACATGGTGGTAACTTGATTGCTGGTCTCAAGGAAGTATGCGGTGGCACTGACTATGAGGTTCTACTTGAGTAACTGTATGAAACTGTTGCGTCTACCTCCCTTAGCGGTTCTGCTAAGAGTATGTGCGATGGCAACTATTGTGGGAAGGACGCGGCTGCTTCTTTTTGCTTCCTCTTGAGAGTATCCTTCTTCCTTAGCGTTCCCACTGTTATAGAGCACCTCTTCTTCTGCCGCGTCACCCATAAATGAGCACCTCTTTCTCGTGGTCGTCTCGCTCAAGAGCGCTCTTCTAACCACAGCGTTCCCACTTAGGGACGGACCAGTCCTTGGCATCTCCAATCAGACCGCCTCTTCCCTTGGTGTCTCCAATCAGAGCGTCTTTGGTTTTAGTGTCTCTACTTGGAGCGCCTCTGGCTTCGGCGTCGTCAATTAGAGGGAGTAGTCTATCTTATGGCGTCCCTGCTAAAAGGAAACCCTGATTGAAGCGTCCTTGCTTTCAGTATCCAACGACAGTATAGCTAGATATGACAATAGTGTATGCAATTATGTACCGTTAGGTTTTAATTTTTGGATGTAGCGACTATTTCCAGATGTCTAACGACTTGGGTTTGTCAGATGTCTAATGACTTGGATTTTTCCCAGATGTCTAATACTCGCGAAAGGTTCTCATAATCTCGAACAAATGCTCATTTGTAATTAACATTATACACATTTATATAATCGATAAATTAACAAATAATAAATGATTTATGAATGTGAGAATATTTCGCTAATATTTAATTTAATTTTTCTTGTTACGGATAAAAAATTGAATGTCAAAAGTGGGAGAGGTATGAAAGCGTAATTCAGTTATTTAAACAAAATACTAGCAACGAACGTTTCCAGGCTATGCCATGATGACGTCACGACCAATATCGTCATGGTAACAAACATCATCTTTGGCGAATTAGTGCGATAATATTTAAGGGCTGCGTTTCACGCGCAGCAGTCAGTTTGCATCAATCTATTAACATTACACAATCATTATAATACACACTATATATATTCGAACACATATATATAGACCACAGTTTAATAATAAAATTAATAATTAATTAAGTAATAATCTACAAGGAAACAGTGATATTTACTAAAATTATTAATAACATATTAGTGACTATAAAACAATAGTGAAACATAAAATATATTGAAGCAACTCATATATAAGACAAGACCGACATATCATAGGCGCGGCACCAAAATATAACACATGCATCAACAATTTAATGTATGTAAGATAGCATTTATTCATTATACAACAAAAGAAGAATACATACATAATAAGTAACAATAAAGGAAACTTATATTTAATGTATTATATTATTTATACTTTATAATTAATTATTTATTATTATATTTAATAAAGAAACAAATATAAACATTAAAAGTAGTCTTGAATAATTGCACTGCCCTTTCACTTGCCAACAAAACTTCCACACAACATCTAAGGAGGTTTTTAAGTCTGATCCCAGACATTTCTTAATTAAAATATCTGTAAACTGTAATCTCTATATAAAATAATTAAATTTAATCAATTGATGAAAAACTTTTAAACGATTTTTGTATAATTAATTAATATAAAATTAATAAAAAAAAAAAATAAGCACAAAATATTTTAACTTTTTCTATAAATTTGAATCTGTTTGTTTTAAATAATATTGTATTTATTCTTTTGTATATTTATTTAGTCTATTGTAATAATATTGTATATGTAATTAATAAAAGTACAATATCTCATAAACACGTTATTATATAAAATTTGACCTTTATATACAACCGAAAACTATATTATTATTTATTATAAAAATTATTTACTAAAAATATTAATTTTAATATTTAAATAATTTTGTTTAATTTTATAATGGTTTTGATATTACATTATTAACGAATACATAAACTAACTGTTTAAAAATAGTGTACCAGGCGAGGAGGGCCAAGTAACTAAGATTAGATGTGAGCTCCTGATGTTGATAGGAGGATTGCAGGCTAGTGGACAAGATAGTACATGTATTCAATAAAGAGCAGTTTTTTTATTTAGTTTGTTTTATTTATGATTGCACTAGTTGAATTATAATTAGTATTATTTTTATAATTGATTTTTTTTTACTTTTCTTGAATTGTATGTTTATTGCCACTGAGCTATCACGTAAGTCGCATACACAGGAAGAAATTGATGCCTTGCTGGTCCTCTATATGTGACACACGTGTAGATGAAATAATACACACAGAAGAGCGAGGTCGTAAACCCCCGCGTTTCCTTGTATATGAGCACGTGGCGTTGCTTGAATTGCTTGTATTATATTTAGCAGATAGATTTACGTATTTGCAGATTGGCGTTTATAGCTTGATATAGTTATGAATTAATTTGGAATGGAACGTTACCTCGTGAGTCTGCACGTTGTGTATAGCTATGTTTTGTCTTATTCTTTGAGTTGTCTCGTATGGCTTCTTATAGTTTGATTGTGTATACTGTGCGGACTAATATTCGTAGTTCTCGATTCCCTTTTTTTGTATTGCACTGCTGCGAGTGTATGATTTGATTATTTCGTACTTGTGTTGAATAGATTAATCTTGGACTTTTTCGTTTAATTGACTTGTTCTTTTTCTGTTAGATAAGATAAGATAAGTGATTGTGCCATGCCGGCGTTACCATTTTTAAAGCCTTCTCTCGACCACGCGGTGGTCAGTGAGAATTCCCACTCTATTGGTGTCGCTAATCAGAGCTGTCTTGTCGATCATGGCGTTGCCAATGAGATTTAGTCTTATTAGTGTGCCCAATCAGAATTCTTCTTTAGTTTATGGTAATTCTAATCACGGCGCCTTTCGAGTGGTGGGGTCTCCCACCAGTGAGTCTTTCCAAGGTGGAGGCTCCAATGAGAGCGGGTCTTGCTCAACTCCCTTCCATGATGGGGGTCTTGATGCCGCGCTTTTCCCTCTCTATCCTAGTATTGTTGCATGCATTTCTTATAATCATGCGCGTTGCGATCGGTCAGTGTTGTGAAGTTTAGGTGTAGCATTGTTTTTGAGTGTATCATCTGGCTTGTGTTTTTCAGGCTAATTTCATGATTGTGTACGCCAGATGTTTTATAATTTGTCGTCGATAAATGCTTTATGACGAGGCCGTGTCAAATGTCTCGTAGCATTAGTTTTATGACTTGTTTTGCTGGACACTTGGAGCCTTGTTCTCGCCAGATGTGTTTATGAAGTTTATTTTCTTAAGATATTCGAAGTTTTGCTGAATTGTTTAGATTTAGTTAATCCGAGGCGCGTTTTTGAATGTTATTACTCGCGTAGCCAAGAGTTGCCCTTTTCGGAACTCTTATCTCGATTTTTCCAGATGTTTAATGAGCTGGGAGTTTTCTTACATTCTTGAACACTAACTTGAACAACAATTTCGTGGTTTACTCCAGTTTTATTTTCTCCTATATTTATATACGTTATATAGGCTTTATATTTTTTATGTTTTTTAATAGTTGATACATAATTATTAAGAGCATATTAATATTTGAAGTATGTTTTAGAATTGAAAATGTCGCCGCTTAAGGTAATTTATTTAACAAAAGAATATAAATCTGATAAAATTTTTACTAAGAATATATATTTTTACTTTATGAACTACTACTGAATTTGGAATGTAAATGTGTAATATTTCATATAAACAAATTAGGCATTTTCGATGTGAACATTGATATAAGAGTGAAAATTAAAACAAAACGCCATTCTTTAATAAATTATTTTTACATCTGTTCGAGAATGCGAGACCTTTTCCTTTTTTTTTGTCAATGCAATAAAACATCTGGCAAGTAACATCGTAAAATTTGTATTTAGATTTCAAAACTTTCTTGCTCGAAATTATCAAGCACTAGTGTCATAAAACATCTGGAAAAACAATACAATAAACACGGGAAAAACCCATAGTTAGACATCTGCATTTTCGTTCCGCTCGGTAACTACTTCAAGCATTACTGCAAGCGGGCCTTCCTTCCCTTTTTCGCTGTCCACAAGTTGTAATGCTGTCACCAGATGCGTCAGCGATGCCCCCCCCCCCTCCTTTCCGCTGCCAACATGCTGTCGCATGCGGCAGCAGTAACGAGAGGTCTTCGTGTCATGAAGACCAAGAGACGACTAGGCCCTTAATTAACTCCGAAGCCACAAGAGGCGCTGCCCTTGCACTATAAGGGAGGAGTCTCTGATTGGACGAAAAATAAGAGAAGGGGTTCAAGTCAAATTAAATGTATTTAAGGGGCGCAATTTTCAATACTCATCACTCTTGATATTTCTTTCTTAGTAGTATACTCTTGATATTTCTCTTTTAGTAGTACTCCCTCAATATAGTATACCCTTGAGATATTTCATACTCAGTTAAGTTTAGTGAAAGTCCATTAACACTGTTACTGGAACAGTAGTTACAAGTCCTGGAGGAACGACGACATACATCGTATGTCCATTAACGCAGTTCAAGAACCGTCGTTACATATTCAAAAGGAGTGACGACTTACACTTCTTCGGATTGTCCATTAACACGTTCAAGCAACAGTAGTTACACGTCCCAGAAGAACGACGACAATCCGCACATCAGAGTCGGGAGACGAGTCAACGATTAGTCTTCGTAAGTAGTATTGTTACTACAATAATTACATATATATTGAGATTCAGAGTATTACCTCAACAAGTAACTAAGGGCGAAGAAGCTCCTCCTAGAACGACAGTGCGGAATAAATTTCAGTAGCGTCGTCAAGTTCGCGCCCGCAAAAAGGGCGTCCATTTCGGCAACCATCACCTTAGTTCAAGTTCGGAAGCTTATGAAATTAAGCAACACACAGCACGAGTGTCGACGAATCAAGTTTCGCGCCACTCTGTGATAACATTCGATCATTACGCTGCATTCATAATCTCAACCACACACGTGCTCATTCAAACAGCGCTAGTATCGACGAACGAAACTTTCGGCATTCGTATTCAACAATCAAGCTGCATAGATTACTGTATGTTTGCCTCCCCAACACATTAATTCAACCCAAGTGTTGATCTATAATTAATAATAATAATAATAATAGTCAACCTTATCAACAATAAATAACAGAATAAAAAGTAAATATTTCAGTCACATTTATATTGTATTATTATAATATCCCTTCCACTTGTGACCTTTCATCGCTAACACACAACACCCGTGGTCTCTGAGTTGTCAACGGCATGAAATTGTATCCGTCGAACCGGCCTTGATAAAACAAGTCGGGACGACGAGTTGCATTTTATACAACATCCATTATTTAAAGATGTATGAACTATAAGTATTAATAAAAATATGATATATAAGTATTAAAAAAACCGTTGAATTTTATTTATGTATAGATATATATAGTATATATCGATATTTTTAAATAAAAAATAATAATATACTCTTCTATTTTTTAGGTATTTTCTATCAATTAAATACATAGAAAATACATTAGTTCTTATAATATTTCTATCAATTATACTATAATTTTGTGTGTCAAAGTAGCTTCAATGTTCAAAAATATTAAAATTTATGTATTTATTATATTCGTTAATTTATAAATTCTAAATTTCATCACCGATTACAAACAAAAACTATTTAAAAAGAAAAACAAATAATAAAGTGGAGAAAGAATAATACAGAAAACGTGGATTTTTTACAAAAAATATGATAAATTAAGTAAATCAGCTGGTGTTTGTAACGAAAATGAATAAATTAAAAAATAATAATTAATGTATATTGCAAGTTTTGTAAAAAATGTGATTGAGAAATAGAAGAATATATTGAAAGATAATCACATGAGCTAGAGTGAATTGATAATTAATAAGTCAAGTATAAATGATAATCGCTAAGTGATGACTATTCATTGTTCATATTATTTGATAACTATATCTATTTGAAGTCAAGTTTTCTTTTTATCCGTACTACATAAATTATAATTTTAATACGAGATATTCCTCTCCACAAGTATTAGCATACTTAACTATAATTGTCATATTTGTGATCTGGTTTATTCAACATTCCTGTGTTAACACGAATTGTGTAAATATTTAGAACGCATTGATTTATAACGCAAATGTATATACTATACATTTTTAGATAGTATACATATACAATAAATTATATTGCATTACATTTTGGCTGTATTTTTGTTCAAATAATTTATTAAATTTCATGAATATGTACTAGCTCTTCAAGTCTACTTAAAAGTTGATCAACTAACTTTGTACTATTCTGTTAAGTTTCTTTTCACTCTTAATTTTGCAAATTTAATTTAAATATTTGTAAAGGATGTGAAGAATTCAAAGAAAGGTGATTTAAAACAAACTTATAGAATTTCTGATTGTAATCCGAAATAAAATAAAAGTGTTATTAAATTGTTATAAAAAAAACACTTGTAAGACATCGCGTTTTAAAACATGGCGGCTTTATTTATTTTGTTTGGTAAAAAATCATCAATACAGAATATTTATGTATGTTTCAATCATATTGTATTATATTGTGTTATAGCGGTATATTGACAATTATATTCTTTATGTATAAAATGAAAATTTTTATTAAATAATAAAAATTAATAAAATAATAAATATAAAAAATAAAAACTATAATAATTTATTTTACATTTCTATCAAAAATTATGATTATTATTTATAACTATTATATACATTAAAAGAAAAATTTTTATATTTTTTAAAAAATTTTTTTTATTATATTCTATTATTAATATATTACATTTATTATATGTTAACTTTAGTATACTTTTGTTTAGTATTTTTAAACGTCATCTAACGATTCTTTGCAGAAACATTAAATTTCATAAGTTTTTATGTAGATTTGAGATAATAAAGTATAAAGTTCATCTATAATAATTCATTAATCATATTAAATTAACTTAATTTGAGTAGAATAAGAAATTGATAAGAAATTCAAATATTTATAATAATATAACAATAATATTCAAAACATTTTTTAATTCTTTATAGCAAATGTTGATAAGGTTTTTATTCAGTTTTGTACTAACGCACGAATTTTAATTATATTAAGATATATATATAGATATATAACCTAGAAACAATGAGTATGTTTAGACATGATAAAATTGATGAAATAGTAAGAGAACCAATAGATAGTGCTTGGTCATTAAAAATTCCTGAATTCAAGCCAAAAGATAATTTACATCGTTTATTAGAAGAAAGTTCTTTTGCAACACTTTTTCCTAAATATAGAGAAAAATATTTAAAAGAATGTTGGTCACTTGTACAGAAAGCATTGAATGAGTATCAAATCAAGGCAGAGTTAGATCTTATTGAAGGTAGTATGACAGTAAAAACTACAAGAAAGACTTGGGATCCTTATATTATCATTAAAGCTCGTGATATGATAAAACTTTTATCCCGTTCCGTACCATTTGAACAGGCAGTTCGAGTGCTTCAGGATGAAGTTAGTGCTGACATTATAAAAATTTCTTCTTTTATAAGAAATAAAGAAAAATTTATCAAGAGACGACAAAGACTTATTGGTCCTAATGGTTGTACATTAAAATCTATTGAATTATTAACGAATTGTTATGTATTAGTGCAAGGTCAAACAGTAGCTGTACTAGGCCCTTACAAAGGTTTACAACAAGTACGTCGGATTATTGAAGATACAATGAAAAACATTCATCCAATTTATAATATCAAGGCATTAATGATTAAAAGAGAATTAGCTAAAGATCCAAAACTAAAAAATGAAAATTGGCAACGATTTTTACCCAAATTTAATAGTAAAAATATCAACCAACGTAAGCAACCTAAAAATAAAAATATTCAAAAACTGTATACGCCATTTCCCCCACAACAAAAAGAAAGTAAACTTGATAAGCAATTGTCATCTGGTGAATACTTTCTCAAGGCAGAACAAAAACAAATTAGAAAACATAAGGAGCGAGAAGTTAAACATCAAGAAGCTACTAAAAAACGTGAAGAACTTAGAGCCGAAGTATTTATACCTCCAGAAGAAAATAAAATACAAGTAAAAAGTAAAAAAAATGATATTAATATGATTGATTTAAAAAATAAAATAAAAAAAGGACTTTTAAGAAAAGTAAAGAAATAATGAAATTGATAAATTAAATTTGTCATTATGTAATAATAATTAGAAATGACCTTGTTTTATTAAAAATTTGTATTTTATAAAAACTGTTTTTTACCAGGTCTAATTAAATTATTTATATAGAATAATTATTAAACATTTGTAAACTATGATTATTTAAAGATGAAAGAATGTATAAAGAACAAATATCATATAATAAATGAAAATTGTATTAAGATAATTTTTTATTTTAAAAATATATTATAAATTATTATATATATTTAATAGTTATAAATGTATTTTGATTAAATAATATTAATTAATAATTAAATAATTACTCTTTGAATTAACAGATTTTATTTAATAATCTTTTAGTATAATTTATTACAATTTAATATACACAATACTTTTTATATTCATAATTTAACATTTTTATACTATATATGTAATTTTGAGATCTATCGACTTTATATCAATGTGATTATTTTCTTTGTATTACTATGTTTATTTTAAATTTTTTAATTAATATATTGATGTTTTCAAGCAAATATTTATTTAACTAGTATATTTTATAATTACTAGTACAGCAATTTTTTTATTAAAGTATTATTCACAAAAAATTTTGGATAGTTTTATATTTAGGATAAAAATGTTTGTAGTTGTTTGTAATATATTACTTATTTTAATATATATTTATTTTCATTTTATAATTTTATAGTCACATCAGTTATCAACTTATTTATATATTAAATTGAAATTCTGTTTCAGTTCAGTGACATTAATGAAATTATTAGTATTCCAGTACTTTTATAAAATAATATTTAATAATTAAAAAATTTGAATATAAAATATTTTTTATGCATGTATATAAATATTTGTGTTTGTATACATGTAAATTCATATTTACTTTAAATTAATTAATACTAGTATTACTTCATAATTACTTGTGAATTAATGAATTCTTATTTAGTATAATTTACTTGTAAAAGCAAAAAAAAGTTATACTTTCTCAAACAATTAAAATGAAACTTTTGTACCAAAGTGTTATTATATAAAAATTAACTTTTATTGCAGAATAGAAATTGCTGACTGGCTATTTATTTGTTCATATTTAATTTATCAATAATAATCACAACTCGTTTAAAGATTAAATATATTTAAATACAGAAAGTAGTAGAAAATTTTGAATATTGATAATATATTTACTAAAGGTATTTAAAAAAAAATTTTACACATTCACAGTCAAATAAAATGCATGAAACATGCTAACACTGGTTTGCTACACATAATTCACTTTTACAAAATACATTTTATCACATAGTATATACTAAATATATAATAAATTATTATTTAGTTCTTATTAAGTTGTTACAGAAACATACAATTATTTTAATCCTGAAATATAAACTTTTATGAGAAGATAGAAAATTTCTCAAAATTAATTTTTATTTTTCAATTTATATTTATTATCTTCTATTTTCTTATTTTAAAATACAATACAGTTCTAGATTTTATAAATATAAATCTAAATTAAAAATAAATGAATTACATAATTATAAACATAAATAATATAATATCTAATTAATGTAAATTTCAAATTAAACTACAAAAGAATGAAATTTTAGACAATTTTTGAAAAACAGTAGAAATGAATGTTTATATCAAACAAGCTTTATATTTACTAAATAATATAGAAAAAGATAAAACTCACACAAACTATAGAATTAATTTAAACATTAGTACTTTTCAAAGGTTTTCAAACAAATTTTATTTTAATAACAATTTTTCTATTTTTTATAGCAGAATTATAGTATAATTCTCGTATTTATTTTCTTATTTTTATATTTATTATACATATAATATTTAAAAAGAAAAATGGCTGTCAATGGTTAATTTTTATTTGCAAAATCTAAAAATCAACCATTATAAAATAATAATATTAAACCCTCACTGTAATTGTTAACTTTAAAAGAGATTAAAAAAAATTTTGACTAGATTCGATATAAACATTTTCCTATAAATTTATACTATAAATACATATAACTATTTCTAAAAGTAATGTTAGTACCAGTTTTTAAATGTTTCGAAAATTTTTAATTTTAAATATAGCCACATCATTTTATCTTATATTACAACAAATTAATAACTAAAGTAATATTTATATAGTTCCATTTAATTCTAGGTTTAGTTAAGGATTTATTTTTAGGATGAAATTTAACAAGATAAACAAAATATAAATGTCAATAGAACATTAACAAGACGAATTAAATTTTTTTAATACAAATTAAAAAGTATGTTTAAATATATTTAAAAATACAATACTTAACTAATAGCGATACATATAAAGAAAAAAAATTAAAATATTATTTTTATATAATTTCATAAATTTTTTAAACATAAAAATAAAAATAAATAAATGAAATAAGAGTGCAGAAAGTTTTTTTAATTATAATAATGAATTGGAATAGATTCTTGAAATTATTCAATTTACTGTCTAATTAAGTTGAACAATTGAAAAAAAAATTCACTTTTATAAATTTATATTAGATATTATAAAAGAATTATATAATTTAATTAACCATTATATATAACTATTTTTTGACTAAAATTTAACAATTTTTAATTTATAAAATATAAGAATTTATAAGAAATTATGAGAAAATTACTGAAACTGATGTTTCCCTTATGCATCTTTGTTGCATATAATGTATATAAAAATAATATTTACATATTTAGTTTACATTCAGCAAAAACTTATAAATAATTTATTTTATGTACCTGTACATACAGATACAAGTTTTTGAAATAAAGAAAAGTCCTTTATTTTAAATGAATAAAATATTTACAAATTAATGTCAATTTACATAACAAAAAAATGCTATATATATTTTTAGAATGTATAAGACTTACATCTTATATTTTCTTAGTATAAATTTGTATACAATAAATTTATTGTTATAAACCTATATATTAATTTTGATATATTTAGCTAAAACTAGCAATAAGTTATCTACAAAAATATTTTTAAAAATCTTAATTTTTTATTCCTGATGTTTAATTATTTTTATTACTTTTATATCATAATTATTAACATTAAATGATAAATTTATAATACTATTTAAAAACTTCCTAGCAAAAATTAGGATCTATTAATAGATTGTATTTTTAAAGTTGTTAGATTTCTATTAAATGAAGAAAATTAAATAAAAAATAATTTGAACTTCTAAATTTTATTTTTAAATATTTTTGTTATATTTCCAAATATATTTAGATGCACATAAATACAATTGATAAACCACAAAAGGATCATTTATAAAATTAAGAATAACTTGAAATTTATTTACAAGCTATAAATCATAAGATTAATTAAATTTATAATACTTTAGTAAATAAATTTTATAAATGGAAAAATTAACTATATTTATTCGTAGAAAAATTAATGTTTTTTATACTGGAATTCAAATTACTGAAATTTTATTGAACACGTACAAGTATCTTCATTAATTTTCCATTTTAGTTGTATTTTACACTTAGTACGTAAAGATTATTTCCAAAGAATTTATATTTGGTGATCATGATAATAAACAAAATAAAATCTAAATACACAAATAACATACAAATTTATCCTTTTGAATAACATGAGATTTTTTATTTAAAACAAATCTCAATTAATTTTCACTCTTTTATACATCTTCCAAAGCATAAATCTGTGTTTAAAGTTAGACTCGCATTACTGGAAATATAAATGCTACGCTAATGGCTGCGATCGTAAAGATGCCATCTCTGACTTTCAGCGTTTGAGTCACACTTCTCTACAGTAATACTTCGCTGCTTATGATGTTTCGAGTCAATGCATACTGGAATCCGGACGTGACGTATTAGACCGCCCTCTAAATGACGCCACTTCTGGTTCTCACTATTGTTGCAGATCTGCATAAGTAAGGAGGTGCCTTTGGCATAAACCGGCAACGTCAGACAGAAATTGTGATGCTTTATAAGCCCCTCCTTCGTTAAACCCCATTCCTATAGTTCCATTATTAAATACAAATTATCAGACTTTTTATAATAACTTAATAATTGATTTTCATTGATTATATGTTCTTTGTTTATTTTATTAAAACGAAAATTTTGTATTGTATCAATGAAGTTTAAACATTGAAAAAATGATTTATTACAAATAATATTCAAGGAGAACTTTTATAGTAAAAATACAGTTATTGTATAATGAATAATTTGATAATTAATTTTAACAATCTATAAATATGTGTATTATTTCAACTAGATAATTTTTAAAAGTTTACTGAATTAGGTTTCAAATTAAATTAAAAAGTTATTGTCAAAAATCAGCTTGTAAATTTCTTGTCGTTATTTCATACAATTATTAAATTTAGTTTAATATATTTTAAATAATTTTATTTTATTTTAAAATATAATATAATATATGTCAAAAATCATTTTTTTGGTTTGCAAATTCATTTATTATTGTACACTGAGCAAAACTTACCTGATTACCACCCGTATTATGACAAGGATAAAGATTGACGCTACCATCAAGAAGATGACCCATGCTATCTAAACAGGCCGTTCCTTGTTTAAAAGAACTACTTAATCTTTCTTCACTCGTTGGAATGATTAATTCTGGATAAACATTCATTAAATACCAATTAAATGACTTGCAATGCAATTTATTTTTCAACTCCATTCTGTCATGTATACTGAAAAAAATTATTACGTTTTGCAATACTTTTAAAATCAACATTTATTTAATATAGTTAATGTATTCTTATTAATATTTATTATTAGTATCTGTTATAGTGTAAGTAATCAATTAATTAATTAAATGAATTAAAAAAGAATTTTTTACTTAAAAAAATTTATTGAAAATGTAGTTTCTTATAAGTATTTATAAGTTATTATAATCTGTACAAATTTATATTAGAAATGTAGTGTAGAATATAGAAGTTATTTGTGTATTTCTACTAAAAACCTAATAAAACATATTACAAGTTATTATAAATATTATAATACTTTATTAATTTACGTTTTTAAATGTATCGGAAATATAAATTATTACGCTACAATATAAATATTAAAATAACATTCCTATTACAATTTTACTTTATAATTTAATATTTTTACAATAAATACAACAAATAGTGATAATTATAATAGAACATAGATTTTTATTCGTATTAATTTATGTGTACTCACTTGCCATATGGAATGTTACGCGCTAAGGGCACAGCATTATAATAAAACTGTTTGTAGTCATCCATCCAAACTTCGGCTGCACGTCTAGTATTGCGCGCAAATACGTTTCCACTTCCGCCAGGGAAGGAATATGGATGACGTTTACGAAATACATGACCAACTCTTGAGCACGGAATGATCTCCAAACTCCCTCCGCATTGCCATACTCGAAATGAAATTTCTGAAATCAAAGATAAGATAGATTTTACTGATTCAAATTAATGATAATTTTTGTATTAACATACTAAATAAATATAGATTATAATTTATCCCATTTTAAATATTCCTATCAATTATGCAATGATTATTTAAAATTTTTAATCTATGTTTACAGGTTCTTCAGCATACATTAAAAATAAACTATTTTAAGAACGTTAAAATAAATGTATTATTTTAACAACAAACAAAAAAATTTTGTTTTATACAAAATTGGTAATTTAGCAATTAGAAAAAATTTGTAATTCTTTACCTATTAGAATAAAATATATATGTACCTTTTTTGTGTATTTCTTTAATGAAAATTAGAATTTTGTTAATATTTAAACTGTAATATTTTAAACATAATATATTATTTTAATATATTGTTAATATTTTAAATATAAAGACTTTTCTTAATCTCGAAAATTCAACAACATACAAATCTTGAAATAGTTAATAAAATTAATAAAAAGAAATAGAGGATGAAATGGAAAGGCAAGTGTGTGACGTGAAAATGATATATTATAGCTGTTCGAGATTCAGAGAATCTCTGGAATTTTATCATTTGGGGAAAAACGACTATCGTTTCAAGGAAAACCCTTAACGGTTATCATTTCGAGTAAATAATTCAACAGTCATAACTTCTAAGAAAATTCGGAAAAGCCGGTACATCCGAAATGAGTGCTCAATCACCTCCATTATTTCTAGCGCTATGATCGGCCCTTTGTTCTCAGCTAACAAAGCTGTCGCGTAGATATTTAAGGCAAGCGCACCATGAGATAAGTACTACTCAGTGATGAGCTAATCGATCATAGCGGCTACTCAGTCATGACCTAGTCGACCAAGAAGGCAGTCAGCCAAACCGAGTCACGGAAGCAGTCACAAGCCTTTCCAATACTAGTGAGTCTAGCGTGAGGCCATCTAAGGCCTTTCTCATACAGAGTCGCTACGGAAGGCCCTTCTTATACTAGGTGCAGCCATTGCATACACTATCGGCAGAGCCGCTACGGATGGCCCTCCTCATCCTTTCACACTACAAGACAGTTTGGAGGAGACCAGCAATCAAGTTACCACTATGTGGCACCACACGAAGAAGTATCAAGAGACTTACGACCTTTCATTTTCAGTTTAGTATTTCACCATCAAGCGTATTACATCAAGAGGATCTGGAGATTTACGACCTCCTACCTCTACATGTAGTAATAACAAATAAGAAACAAAATGTATTGTAAAATTAAATACCAAACAGATTAAAATTAAATCAGGCTTTTCCCTCGCTTCACAAATATGATAATCCGCAAAATATATCATAATTCAGAAATATTTAATAGAACATATGCTAGTATGAATATTAATTATATTGATACGTCAATAAAAATAAATGTATATTTAGATTCAATCAAAGATTAGAAAAAATATAATACGCAAATCTATTACAGATTTCAATATTCAATCTTTTAAAAATGATGTCAAGAAAAATATATATAAAAAAAAACACAAACTAATTAATTTTCAATTACAATGTTTACCTTTCATCGATAAAAACAAACTTCAAAAAATTATAGATTATCTGTTTGAAAAATAAATGATTTGCTTTATTTATCTGATTGTACTAGTGTATAAAAAAGATGATGATTTTCTATTTTTCACAAGCGTTCATGAGTTAAATAAAAGTACTATCAAAATTTTTTTATCTAATTAGTATAAGACAATATTGATTGATTAAAATATGAAAATTAATTTTTCAAATTTAAAAAATATTTAGATTTGTATATAGATATAAAAATTGTATATACATATAAAAATTCTATTTAGAATGCAATCGAATTTTAGTGAGATTTTATTTTAAAACAAATAATTTATTGACAACAAATATGTATATAATCTTATTTGAACAATTTCAATAATTTGCTTTCTGATACAAATTATAAAATGAATATAAAATTTCATAATATACATGAATGCTTTAGTTAAAATTAAAAAATTTATTAATTTAGATATATTTGAAAATATACGAATAAGTATCAAATAGTAATTTATTAAATTAGAGTTATGTGTATAAAGCACATAAAATTATATTTAATATTGGTTCAGCTCAATAATATTTAAATACAGGTGATCGTGAATAATAACAAATAGGACTAAATAATAAGTATAAGTTTGTTGTAGAAAAGCTAAGCGTTAAGTCAGGCCTATTGAAACTGCGATACTATGATATAGTATGAATTTCAACGTGAAAAAACTTTTATATACATATATATTAGTATCAAGTTATATTATATAAATAAAAAATAGACTATTAAAGATTTATTAGAAATATCATTAAAAATGATTAGTACTTACATTCATTCGAATAAACCGTGAATTGATTTTTAATTTACTATTTTAATATGTAATAAAAGTTCATATATATTTTTTTATGACAAGTTTATAATACAAATTTATATTATATTTATATTTATATTTATTTATATTTATATTATATACAAATATATAACACTCTTACAATCTTAAACTAATAAGGTGCTCACCTAAATTTTCACCTCCCCACACATCCATTTGTGTATCATATTTTCCTAATTTTTCGAAATACTTTTTATTTATAACAAAAAGTCCGCCGGCTATCATTGGTGTTCTTATCGCTTGAGTCGGATCTTTTTGGCGTGCTTGACGCTCAATATGACTGAGGTATTCCCATTTGAATACGAGACTCCAATCGAAACCACCCCTTAAATCTGCCGAGGCACCTATGTAGTTTTATTAAACATTAGATTTTTTATATAAATTATTTGTACTTAAACTGTAAACCATTGTCTATAAAACTATTGGGAATTAAAAATTATTTATTAATGTAGGACTATATTTTGCTAATAATTCAATTAATGATTAATTTAATTATAATAATTACTTTAAATAAAAATAAACTTAATTATAAGATATAAAAGAAAGATGCAAAGCAAACGTATTTTACACTCATTCCATACTTTGTAAAGAATCGTACTGTTTGACTATCATATGATAATATAGCAAAATCAATTTTACTTAGGTTTTGCATTACTATAAAAAATAAAAATATTTGTAAATATTGAAATTTTATTTAATTCCTTCAAATTTGTTTGTAAACTAAAATTTTTTTAATATTTATGTAATTTTGCAACTACTAATTATTTTACCCCCTTTTCGTGTTAAATTTTTGCTTATATATTTTTCGTATTAACGGTGTTAAAAATACCAAGTTTCGCAACGATTAATGAAATATAAATATAAAATACAAATAGTGCTATTATTTTTTATCTAATCCTTTGACTATTTTATAATAAGTATAACATGTTATACTAACATAAATACTTTAACATTAACAAATTTTAATTTAAAAAAAGTTGTATACAATCATATTCGAACTTTATATAATTAAATTTCAATTTTTTAGGATTTTTATAATGAATCTCTGTACTAATATTAATAATTATTAATAAATTAAAATTTGTAAAAAAACATTGTAAACAATTCATCAATAAAAAATGGAAAGTAACAATTTTTTTGTTAAAAATATCTACGTACATATTTATCTTTATTATGTTAAAACTGTTAAAATTTGAATTCTATAATTTCTCAATTCATTTTTTCTATTTGTCTTATTATATGTCGCTTAAGAAAATACAACAAAAGTTTAAATAATAAAATGTACCCTTGATTATTAATTTACTTGGAAACTTGTTAACTCCCTATTAGGGTAGTTTTGAGGGTTATTGTGTTATTTCAATTTTATAACCCATAAATTAATAATTATATTATTCAATAGATTCTATGGCTGTGATTTTATAAGTTAATTATCTGTATATATAATATGTAATTATCATTTGATTGGATTAAAAAGTTACAATGTGAGATATTATTTAAAATTGAATATAAGAGAATTGTTGCTTAAGAAAACTACTTTTATTTTTTTTGAATATATTATTAATTTATGGAATATCAAACACATTCTTATAAAATAATAAATGAATATCAATTATTCAAAATTAAGGTTAAGATTTCTGATATATTTTAATCACTTAAAGTGCCAAGTAATAAATTGTCTATTATGTATTTTAGGATATTACAAAACATTTATTACGTAAGAAGCGTATAAAACAATTCGAGGAGTTTGTAGTGAAATACTTTCAATAAATTATTAAGAAATTATATAGATGAAACTAAAATATTGAATTAAAAAATAAATTTATACACTGGTCAAATTTACCGATATATTGGAAGTTGTCCATGCTAATAACATCAATAACAGGACAGACAACTCTACTTGGATTCTCAGCGACCCTTTCGAGGAGAGGCTCCAACCAATTAGCATTGCATTCGCAGTGTGAATCCAGAAATGTCAGTACGTTCGCCGTTGCGGAATCTGCTCCTCTTACTCTTGACCTCATCAAGCCTTCACGTCTATCATTCCTGATTACACGTACTTTATGAATCTTTGCTAACTCTTCGCCATCTGTTGCTGTAGTATTTAATGATACAAAAAACAAGTTTATTTTTATGTTATGTAATACGTAATTATATTTCTTTACGAGAAAATGGGTATTAAAACAAAAAATCAAGAAAATAAAACAAATATAAATTAATGTACAGAATTCTATAAATAAAATATGAAATGTATTATAAAATATTAATTAAACATGCAAAAAATATATAAGTATTTTCGTACTTACCATGATCGCTAAAGTCATCTACCAAGATAATCTCTTTAATTAAGCGTTCTGGGCTTCTATTCAATACGCTGACAACCGAGAAAATAGGATGTGGTAATAATGAGTTATTTACAAATCATTCCTAGGTAAGTCGAACTTCGATATACTTTATTAATTATATTTACTTGCTATTGATTTATTGAAATATCATCTTGTTTAGCATTTGATACATTGTAAAATGTATTTCTTACATAAAAACCATATAAATTCTAAATAAAAATCTACGTTTCTTATGGTTTATTATAATTCAAATGAAATATTAAAATTATAATATACATATAATACTACTATATGCAATATATTTGCTCATATAGTTAAAAAAAATTAAAAAACGTTAAAAATTAAAATGCTATTTACTTTATTCAAAATAAAATATTAAGAGATGTAATAGATAATATTAAAATAAATAGATTTAATATCAAATATATAATTATCAAATTTTTAATAATTATAAAATCATTAAAACATCTTTATAATATCTTAAAACAGATATATAACTCTAATTCAAAGTAATATAAATTTATAATATTTGGTTTTACTTTCTCTAAACTATAATTTCGTATTCATGCTTAAATGATGAAATATATACATCTCTAATAAGTTAAAAATTTGTATCGATGAATTCATTTATATAAACACAAATAAGCATATAGTGTTAAATTAGTGTCTTGCAACAATTAAGTTATCAACCAATAAGCGTAAAATATTACAAGGATATATAAGAGAGAACAGTACAATCTGTTGCAAACAAAGCAAAAAGCACTTGATTTCAACTAAAAGGACCTTGTACAATTAAAAACTATGTCAATAATATAATATTAACTAAAGTATTCCGTAATGTAATATTACTGTATAATCTATTCATTTTTTCGTTTTCTTATATTTTCTTATATTTTCTTATATACGGAAAAGCTTCTAGTGAAAGGCAGTAGAAGTCAATGTAGAAAATAGCTTGATTATGGAAATGCAAATTTTGTAGAAGTGATAGGAAATAATAACGTGCACATATAGCATTTGCAACTTATTAAATAATATTTCATAATATCTTAAAACCAAATTATTGATACGATAATGAGTTCTTCAGAATTTTCCATTGAATACTGTTTCAATTGAATAACATTTATAGAGGATGTATACGATTCTCAATTCTTAGTTACGATAAAACTGCATCTTCCTGAGTTAAAATATTTCGAAAATTTTCTTTTTGGATCTACTTAATTATAAATCCGAAGAAAATCTATCATTCTATATATTCAAGGACAAATTTTATTGTTCTTATGTTTTTCATTTCAGTTGGACTGCATTTCAATTTCAATATTTTAATGGTTGCTTTATTTATTTATTAATACTTTTACTTGATTGACCGAACTAAATAACTAATATGTACATACATTAGTTGAAGACTTTATTCGATAAATTCACTAAATAACAAACATATATTTTTTATGAATAATACAATAATATATACAATAATAACAAATAAATTCAACTTAAAAATTATTTAAAATTTTATTACATAACAATAAATTAATAATTAAATAAATTTTTATTTACACAAACAGAAAACAATACATAACAGCATATTTAATTGTAATTTTAAATAAAGAATTAGTATATATCATGTAGACTTGGATTTTGTTTATATTCAAAAAACTGTATTATTGATTACTAATATTTCTAAAGTAATAGTATACATAAATTATTTATGGTTAATTTATATAAAATTTTTATAACTTGAGTTCAGAAATTAAATTGAATTAAATTTCCTTTTGCGAATTTATAATTTTTGTCTTATTATATATAATTTTAAATAATTACTATTAACTGCTCACCTAACAACTGTACGTAGAAGAGTCGAACGAGCTTCATTATGAAAAGTAATAATCACAGAAGTTGGTGGAAGATCCTTTCTCCATTGCTTTAGTCGACACCTTTAGTTATAAATGAAGTATTGATAATTATAAATTATAGTTTAAAGCCTTTTAAAGCCTCTTAATAAGGCTATATAATATAGATAATAAAGCATAAATAGATTAAAAAACAATTGTATATATGCTTAGTTTTAAATAATTTATCAAATATATTATCTATATCATTTATTTTTCAAAATTTTCATTTTTATAAAATTTATTGTAAGTCTTTAATTTAAATATACATGCCGTAAAATTATAATTAGAAAAATAGTTAATGGAAAGAAATGAGATTTTTCAACAATGATGTATAGCTTAATAATTAAACATTAACTAATTAAACATTTTTATATCTGTTCTCAATAATATTTTAGCATAACATACTATTATTATTTTTATTACTTACATTAATCTGTAAAATGTAATATATAACTTTCTTTTACTTGATATTTAACATTCTTATATTATGTTTATGATGATGTGTTTAATATAAATTAAAAACAACGTAGTTGCTAATCACTGTTATAAATATATTGTGTATGTAATATTACCGTATTATTATTATGTGTTAATACGCGTTTAATAAAGTTTGTTTCACAGACAAGTATCATACTATTTTTTACAAAGTACGATACTTCAGGGGTTTGCCGTTGCAATTACAATCGAACATTTAAAAAAAATATTAACTACATTTTGATTATATTTTAAGTTAAATTATATAGTCGTGATAAATTTATGTATTTTTTATTAAATAACAAATAAATGAAAAAAAAACATTAAATTGAAAACTGTTGATTTTTTAAAAATCATATATTGGAGATTAAACATTTAAATACATTTCTAAATTTTTATTGTTTTAGAATGTAATTTATTTTAAATGTGAAAATATTGTAACCAAAAGAAAAAAATTCCAAAATTATATTATGAAAGTAATAAAAATAAGGTTTAAAACATTAAAAAGTTGTAAATATGTAGAATTCAAAAGAAATTTTCTTTTTAAATGCAAATTGTTTATTCCAATCAAGTAAAATGATTATTAAATATGTTGATTAAAGAATAAATAAATCATATAAAAGATAACTGTTAATTAGTATCTTAATTGTAAATTTCTTCCGGTTACAATAAAACTGATATTCAATTAAATATATATTGCTAATTATTTAATTGTTTTTAATATAATATAGAAAACACAAATATAGTATTATATGCGAAAGAAAAAGAAATAATCTATTATAAAAAAACTATAATTTTTGTAGACATTATAAGTATTATCTTATGTAGTGTCGTAAATTGAGTTTGTTTTAGATATAGGTAATATTACTATTTATATTTTTTGTTATACAACATATCAAATTAATCTAATTATAATTGGGACTCTGTAATATCTGTATATTATTCGATAATATAATAATATGCTATAAATTATGCTAATATTATGCTATAAATATAAAAAGAGCTTATATATAAATGTTTAATCAATATTTATAATGATGTGTTGTACAATTTATCTATATAAATCAATTATTATTTTTCAATTATTATCACATATATAACAAAAATATTTACAAACTATAAGTTTTAAACGTATTTTAAATACAGATAGTTCGATCACGAAAAAATAAAAAAATTGGATTTCTTTATTTTTAAAGGGATATGAAGATGAAAAGGCAGTAACGATTAAACTACAATTTTTAAAAATTACGATGAGATAATTAAGGGGCAAAGGATACGATAATGATTTGAAAAATATACTAAAATAATATAAGAACAAAGAATACTGTAGTTTATGAAAGTCAGGAGGGTATTAAAGTACCATAATCTGAATCGATTAGGGATTATAGATTGATTAATCTATTAAATCAGTAATGCAAATAGTTTTATATTACATTAAAAATTAAATTAAAAAATTGTTATGAGCAGTAAATATTTCAATAGAGATTCATAAGGAACCAAATTACATGTTTATTTATGAAAATTCTTACATATTATTTATAAAAACATTGTACTACGAAAGATTGGAACTATCTCTAATTAAATAAAGAGAACTTCTTAAATATATGTATTGCCATCTTCTTAAATTGATTTACATTTTATTATTGTCTCATTCATTTAATTCTTCATTCTTTTTATCTATCCTCGATCTTTTTTCTCTTTTTCTCTTGATTTTTTTTTCTCACTCTGTCACTTTTCATTTTTGTATATTCCTTTTCCCATTAATTTCGTATAATGGTGAGGAACTTTAATTTTTAAAACTCTTGTTTGGGTTATTCATTTAGTTTTATTTCTCTATTTTTCGATTGGCATTGTCATTGCTCATTTTCCTACAAAATCTAAATTAAAATAAAAATACTTAAAATAAAAAAAGTCTTAGATTTTTAATATACCTTCTATTTACTATAATATTAAATATATATAAATTGATTCGATGATTTGTAATAACAATTTACAAGTTGAACTAAATCAATCTATTCGTTTTCATGCTCACTCTCGACTCCTACATATTACAGGAAGGAGACGCGATCTTCTAAGCCATGCCCTTAATATGATTGATATTGTTCTTGTGAAAAATGTTCTAATTCATTCGAATAATAAATTATACATAAAAACTATACAGCCATATGAGCGTCGAAGAGCTTAAATTAACACTTTGAATGTCATCTTGTATTATTATAAATAATAGAATATTTTATTCAGATTTTTAATAATTTATTTTAATTTCTATGTTACAAATGAAAGTTTTTAGAGATACAAGAAATATATAATTATATTAGTTCTAGTTTTAAAGCATTTAATAATATAATAAAAATAATATATATTTTGTTATTTTTTATTATTTTTAGAATATGTTAAAAGTCTAATCGATTGGTTTTAAATTGAAATTTGTGACGAGATTATGAAATTGTGTAAGAATGAAGATTTATTTATTATATGTATATTATGGATGCGTAATCAATGCCTATGATCGTAATAAATGTTTGAGCCGTAAATGTATGGTATGCAATTAATGTACACGTTTATTGTGCATACGAAAATGAAAGTGTCATAGCGAATGTATAGGTTTGAAACGAATGGAAACATGTTTATGTGTATATACGTACTTGGGCAGGAATTTCTTATTCGAAGTATGTGAGGTATTCCAGTCAATGTGAATACTAATTCGCGAGGAAAAGAAATATGGACGCAATTTTATAAGCCGTAACGAGCGCAAAATTGATATAGTTAAACTACATCAATCATTTCTTTTCAGGTACATAACATACCTTTTCCATCCCATCTTTATTTGTTTCTTGAATTCACTGTATGGCGTATTTTTCCACTCTCAAAAACATTTTTATATACTTTATATCCTTTCTGAACATGTGGCCTCGTACGTTTTCTCGCCTTGTAAACATATCATGCTCATACATAATTTAAATTAAAATTTGTAAGAGAAAAGATTAGATTTAAAATAAAATATATTATTAATTGTATTTTAGTAATAGTATACCAAATTATTTATCTGAATATTTTGTATAATTAATAATAAATAATTGATAAATAAGTCATTTGAATTTCACTGTAATTTAATGTTAATTTATAAACCCTCGGAAGAAAGTTTAACCTCAAGTGATCCTATATGATATAACGATAGAATATGATCTTTACTAAACAACTGAAAAAAATAAGTAATTTATTATTATCAATTGGTTTCGTATTATTTTTCATCTTTTTAAAATATATAAAATATTTTTCACGATGAAAATCATTGTGTCTGAATAATTCTTTACTACAGAGTTATTATTATTGAAGTTTCCATAAAATATTAATATTGTTATAGCTATATATAGTTGAAAATAATATGCTTGTTTTCAAGCTATATATCGAAAGATTTTATATGCAAATTTCAAAAAATAAATATATATTAAAAGACGTATAAAAAATTTTTTTACTTTAAAACTTACATTGGGCTACGTGTATCAGGAATATTACGATTACTTGGAAGGCTATCTGAGGCTTCTTGATTAAATTTGTTTCTAGCGTATGGATCTTCTCCAGCTTTTAAGCCACCTCTTGAGATATATCTATCGCAATATTAATTTTTATGAGCAATCTACTGTAAATATTGCTTAGTTTATTGGAATTATAATAACAATATATTATACTACTTTTTATATTTGCCAATATTGCTTTACTGTAATTTTAAAATAATCAACTTAATAAGCGAAAAATAAAATATACAAAAAATAAAAAGTATAATATTAAAAAATACTCTTCAGAGTTTTAGTAAACCTATATATCAACTTTAAATTATGAAAAATAAAAGTCATTTAAAATTAAGAAAAATTATTTAAATTTATATAATTAAATTAAAATAAGTTGATTAAAAATGTTTTAAAATAATAAATCACTAATGAAAAAACAGAATGTTCAAGAAATTGATACTTAAGTTCAAATTAAATCAACATTTTTAATTAAAATTTATGTAAGTAAAAAAATAATGATCTGAACGATTTTTAAAATCTAAAGAAATTATGAAATTTTTATTCCTATTGTGTTGGTTGTAACTTACCCTTGTTCATCAAAATAATTCCAACTTAGTTGGGGGTCGACAGAAGGTGAAAATAAAAGTTCAGAGGACACAATAATGGTGGTTCGGCCTAGATCTGCGAAGTCGCCAGAATTTTCAATTAAAAATTCCAAAGAAGCAGGTTCTTTTAATCGCAAGGCTCTATTTTCATTCTGTGACATACAAAATAAAAATACGGTAGTACAGATATGAACATTAATGTGGAAATTTGCAGCTGAAGCGATTGAAAGCCATCGTACGTAAATCATTAAAAAAGAGAAACTTCAAAGTATTTTTAATTATTATTTTTAATTATTTTTAATTAAAATGTTCCTGAAATGAGTGAGAAATTTTCATTTTTGTTAAATTTTTTTTAAACAAAAATTTAATACGTTATTTGATTAAAGTCGATGATAAATATCTAACTACTATTGAAATAACTAATACAGAAAAAAATTAATATTTTCTTCTATTTTATAGTCTTTGCATTATCTTGTTATTATATTTTTATGATTATTCATTCATTAATTTTTCAGAAAAAATAATAACTGTACAATCTCATACTCTAATATATATTCAATTCTGTTTGAAAAGTCTATTTCATTTTATTCTAGTTCTGTATAAATTTGTTTAAGTATAAAATTTTTTAATGATATAATTTTTTTATTACCAACGATTTAATTCGAAAAAGTAAAAATTGAGTTATTAAAATATTAAAAATATATATATAGTATTGGAACATTATGGGTCTAATATTAATCATGGAATCATTGATTTTATATCCATTCTCAAATAAAAATTTGTATTCATAATTATAATTGAAAATACATTATTGATTATATGAACTAGAAGAATCACACAAAATAAGAAAAGTAATTAATTATTTGTATTTTTAACTAGTTTTTTCTTATGTATTTATATTTTATATTTATATTTATATTTTATTGTAATTTCTTATGTATATATATTCGTCATTTAAACATACAATATAAAATATTTTGAAATGCCTTCACCCAATATTAAGCATTGTATGTAAAAAAAGTAATCAATGCAAAATACTATATTTAATTTTTCATTTTATAAATAAAACTATTTTTATTTCAAATATAATGAGTTTTGATTATTTGGCCTTCGACATATTGTATATACATATTTCCCTGTGGATATGAAATGATAAATTTTTATAAATTTTTTATAAATTTTTTTTAATAATAATGTTTCGTTAATAAATATTACTAATTATATTAAAATAAGTAAAGATTCAATTTTTAAATTTATAAATATTTATAACCAATTTATTATTGAATTCTAGATATACTTTACTATATGTCGAATTTTCTATATTTGTTGCATTAATTCAGTGTATTTTAACAATAAATATTTTATAAGTTTTTTAATAGTTGTTGCAATTAATTAATTTGATTTCTTTTAAAATTAAATTACAAAATCTAACTAAATAATCTTTTTTTTTTAATTTTATTATTTATTATTTAGTTAGATTTTGTAATTTATGTTATATATTATTATATTTCTTACTATTTTAGCAATTAAGTGTTATACTCTCAGCCACCTACGTTAGAGCAGGGTGTACTAATGTTAGTTTTTGATAGAAAAACGTTTTACAATGTATTATGAAAGGTTTTCATAATACGATATACGCTTAGCACTTGTGGAAGAAAAACAAATTTTTTCGCAAGATTACCTTTACTAGAACACAAAAATATATTATAATGTATTTTTTCATTAAAATATTGTTTAGAATGATAAAGAATATAAACATATATAATATTATAATAATCGAATATATATCGTTTTGATATAATTTACGATATACACAGATATCTAAGTAATATTATATGAAAATACATAATTTTAAATTTTATTATTCATAAAATTATGTAATTCTGTTTATATGCATGCATTCTGTCAGATGAAATGATACACATGGCATTTTTCCTGATTTGATATTTAATTGTAAGCACCATTCTTTATTAAATAATTAAATACTTATTTTATATTTATTAAATTTTTCATTAAGTAAAATAAAATTAAAATTATAAAGAAAGAGTATTATATAACTTATTATTATAAGATGTAATTAAAAAAATAATAAAAATAATTAATACTTACCTATTAACATTTATTATTAAATATAATATTTTATTATTTCTATTGTTTCCATTACTTTTAAATTAACAATTTTAAATAAATAGATTCAGATTTTTAATAATTTCACATATGCTATTTTTTTCATTAAACTCTACATAATTCTCTTTATTAATTTTCTATAGTAAAAAGTGAAATTGATTAAATGATATTTTTTAAACTTAACCGAATTAATCGTTGTTTGTGTGATAGTACTAATGATTTCAGTAGTTAATTGTTTTCAAACATAAATCTTCACATCTTTATGCTTAATAAAATTTTTTGTAATTATAAGCTATCAAGAAAAAAAAGCTTTTAAAAATATTAATAGAATTAATAGAAATTTAGAATTTATTTTAAAAAATAAAATAAAATTCTTTAATCATTTTAATGTATGTTTACTTATGTACATTTACTTATATACATTTTAATTATGTATTACTTATCTTTTCTAACAAAATGAGAAATGAATAATTATATATGTAACATATACAATATTGTTTTATCTAGAATATTTAAAAGTTTAAGAACATAGATGTTTTGCTCTATTATATTAATTATTATATTATATATTATATATTATATTAAATATTATATTATATATTCTATATTATATTAAATATTATATTATATAAATACATAGTTGAAGTTTGAATTGGAAATATAAATTTTTTATTTTATTACTTAAATTAAATATATGGTTAATCAGAACTTATACAAAAGTTTGATTAAATATCGAGAAATGTATCATGCATTAATGTACTAACAAGATTACGATTTATCGTCAAGAGTTGGTCATACTGAATTACGAATAATTTTATACTCTTCATGAATGAAGCTTTAGTATAATATATCTAAAATTAAATTTTATATTCTATACTTATTTCATTATTTTACACATTACTTTAACATATTAAATTACCAATTTAATACATTTTTATTTTGAAAATATAGAAAAATTATGTTTCAGTACTAAAGTCTGTATAATCTTAAGTCACTAATTTTGTTTAAATATTATTATTTTTATTAAAACTTATAGCTATAAATTAGTTGAAGTGTTAAAATCATACACAAAACTCTAAAGGGATAATAAATATGTAAGTAATTAAATTTTTATTTTTGGGAAGCGGAGATAGTTAGAATATCCATTAATCTACTTTTTATATTATATTTAATTTACAATATATTAAATTTTATTTAATTATTTATTTAAATATTTCAGATTTTTTTGTATACTATTTGCTTATTAAAACATCCTTATTAATTTAGTATTTTATGTAGTTTTTATATATGGTTATTAAAAAAAAAATTATTCAAAATTACATCCTCTAAATTATATTTTATAAATATTTATCTAAAATATTTAAATTACAAAATATACTTGATCCAATATACATATGTGTAATATAGTAATATGATAAAAGAAATAGTTCACGCAATTTATTAAAAAAAATAAGTAATAGGTTTTATAGAGAAATGAAGAATATAAACAGCAATATATCCTGTCATTCTTATTAAAGGCATTTTATTATGTTTTTTAATAACTATAAAAATTCAAAGTATATAATTTAATAATTAAATTGTTAATTATGTTTTAAATTATGAAATGGATAATACACACTACAATGTAGTGAGACAAAATAAAAAAACATTAATAATGAAGTGTTTAGTTTATGAGTAAAAAAATATTTACTAAAAATTTTAAGATATACGATATAATAGCCCACTCAAGAATGTATACATTGATATAAGTTTCAAAATGGAGTGGAGTATAAGATATTTTTGTTGAACTTATTATACATATAAATAATTAATTACATTCTCTAGAAAAATAAAATAAATTTAATTTATTAATAAAAATGATATATTAAAAATGGTTCTTTACACTATATCCGCCAGATATTAGTCATTGATTTCAACGATACTATTATTCGATTCTTTTCACTTTTATTTATTATACATGTATTTTTATATATAGATGCATTCATTTATTATTTATACATGTATTCATTATTTATAGATATTTATTTTTTATATTTGTATTATACATTTATCGTTTTCAAGTATTTCAAGTAGTTTCTAAAATATATGTCTGAAATAAGAAATTATTTACATGTTATTTTTAAAAATATTAATTAAGATTTATATAGGTAATAAGGACTATAATTATAAAGGTACTAGCATTTTCTAATAATTATTAAAATAATAACAAATGATTTAATTAATTTTTAAATAAAAACAACATTTGCATATAATAATTTCTTTTTCATGTGTTATTAATTTTGTACTATTTATATATTTACACCTACTTCATAATTTAGAATTTTAAATTAGCAATTAAATTTATGACTTTTTATTAATTTATATTATTTAAATATTTTATTATCACATTTATATTTAATATTTTTTTATTTTACATTTAATTAAATAGTGAATATAGGTGCACATCATCATTTTTATAAAAATTATGAGTGATTGTTGTATTTGAAATGATTATATTGTAATAAGCTAAAAAAAATGTGTATTGTTTTAAATAAGATTAACAAATTTTAATTGAGCAATGAAAATAAATTATTTTCTAAAATAAGTGTCAAATCAATTAAGTCACATTAATTTAATTTTAAACTTTTTAGAGAATCATGTAAAATTTTGTAGAGATTTATCCTTTTGTCTACATTAAAATTAGGAAGATCTTAACTGAATATGAATATGAAGATAATAGGGAAAAAAAGGTCAAATGTAACTTGTGTTTGTGAAATAAACCTTCACTTTTTACTGTATTGCAAAATAACTAAAAACTAATATGTAGTTACATATAACTGAAATAATGTAAAGATATTTATAAGTCATCAAGTATATTTAATCTCTACTATTACTAATGAAAATAATTGTGAAATACCAAACTATAAATATGTATATTAAATGTATATTTTGTTCAAATATTATAATACTAGAGTCTATTCATAATTGATGTATTGTTTGTAATATTTGAATATTTAATATTTTAATATTTATTATTCATTATTGC